CCTCCCCCTACCCCACCTCTCCCCCATGCTCGGGTCCTAGCCCCTGATTGTCCAGCGCCTTGGGACGTCCTCCCAATGCGAAAAGTGCTCTTTAAATGTAATTTTATTGTTGTTTATTACATTGGGGTTGAGATTGGTTGTATGGGAGTCAATGATGTACTTGGTTTAATTTGTTTGGACTGTGTTTGTTAGATCCCTAGGTTAGGTTTGGAGAGAGGGATAAAGCGCATACAGTTTGCCTACAGTCACTACATCTCACAACACTGTGAAGCTGTTCTCTGTTAAGACGTTTCATGTTATAGCAAATGCAATATTCTGACTATTTTACACATCCATTGTGTATTAGAAGTGGATTGCAATAGGAATAGAGGAAAACAGGAATAGGAGGAAGTTACTCAGCTCATTGAACCTGTTTCACAAGTTTGTTAGATCTTGTAATCCCAATGCTCTGCCCAACAATGCCCCGAATAAAAAAAAATGGTAATTCGCGTCATGGCTGTTCGTGGGACATTGCTATGTGTAAATTGGCTGCCACATTTGCTGCAATATATAGTCAATACACCTGACATATATCCTGTGAAATTCTTCGAGACATTCAACAATGTGATAAGGGGCATTAGAGTATAAATGCAAAATTACATTTTGGGATTTGGACCTGGCATCAGATATAAGGATTATTATTATTATTATTATCTAGCACAGGAACCCAACCACCCTCCTCTGTGTTTGATGGGCGGCTATCTGCACAGTACACTGGGCTTACTCATAACTTTATTCTGTTGCAATGTACTGAAAGCCACAAACACTCATTTACCAGGACTTGCTGAGACAGGCACAGAGTCAGAGTGCTGCCAGGAACTATTTCATTGTCATTGTTCCTCTGAGCAAACACCTTTTCTATCACTTTTTCCGGTAACACCTGTTGTCAATTCTCTCCACTCGTCTACTTCCTGATGGCCTGTACTCTTCCCAATGAGGTCTACTGTTCACGCTCACTCCGTCCCTCCATGGGTCTCTGAGTGTTCAGCCATTGTGCTCCCGCTCTCTGGAATGCTGTCCTAAAATTAATTTGTCTTGTCATCGTCTCCCCAGAACCCGTCTTACAAACATACTTCATTGTGCACTTGGCCAACACCCTGAAATTCGCCTTCCTTTACCTTTTCGAGCAATCCGGCACACTACCCAACGTGAAGGGCGCTATATAAATGCAAGTTGGTTTGCTACACTCCCTGCTGGGTGCTGTTGGGCAACATTGGACAAGTTTCCTTACTCCACAAGCCTCTGTTTACTTAGCAGCAAGTTGGAACGCAGTTGTTAGTCAATTGCCGGATTGCTTTTCCGGGGATAATAATCCCTTAAAAAAAAAGTCACTCAATCTACGACTGTTTGTGGGATACTGCTATGTGCAATTAGCTGCCGTGTTTCACCACGCTATATCAAATGCAAGGATTATTATTACAAGACAGGTTACCATACCTTAGACTGACCACAGCATTTAAAAGCAAATTTGGATGAACGTTTAAAGAGGAAGAATATCAAAAGAAATTAGCTGCAGTGAACAAGGGTAATGTGAAGACGACAGTAGAAAAATATTTTGTTACACACAGGGTGATTAACAACTGGGACGGGTTACTAGGAAATGTGGTTCAGGTCAAGACACTGGACTCGTTTAAAAAGTAGCTTGACATTGGCATAGGAGGATGGTATGTTGGTAGATTTCTGGGAGGATAATAATACGTGCAATTTGATGTAAATCTTTCACAGAAAGAGAACATCTCAAAGAGCTTCACAGCATTTTACTATAGTGTAGTGACTGTATTTTGTAGGCGATTGCAACCAATTTACACGTAGCAATGTCCCACAGAATGGGGGAGGAGGAGGGACTTGTTGGACAGGTCAACAGGAGTAACTCCCTTTTCTTATTGAACTGTTCCATGGGATTTTGAATGTCCACTTGGGCAGTCAGACAGGACATTGGTTTAACAATTCATCCAAAAGAAAGCATCTCTGAGCACTATAATAATTGAGTGTCAGACTTGACTGTGAGTTCAACGTCCTGATGTGCTTGAATTAAAAAAAAGTTTTGACTTGTAGGCAAGAATATCACTGAGCCAGGATGAGATCAAATGGCCTGAAGGGTTGTCTTCATCCAAATCTCCTATTAGTCAAAAACCCAAAGGGCTGAATGACCTCCTCCTGTGCTGTCATTTCTAGGATTCAAAGGAACTCGGTGTGTGAAGGGCTTTGAAACTTTCACAATAAAGCTGAATACCAAAGGCTTCAGCTTTACTTCTCAGATTTGCATTGAATGTTTGGTCAAAAGAGGAATTCTTTGTGACTTGTCCTGTTCCTTTCCAATGACAGTATAAATGGAACAGTTCCTGTTCCCAATCATACCGGGGTGACTATTGTAAAAGCTGTGGTCCCAGCTAATGGTAAATTGACTACAAGTTCAGCAGTTTCACAAAGGATAGTGGACTAGTGGAGTGCCACAAGGATCAGTGCTTGGGCCTCAATTATTTACTGTCTATATCAATGATTTAGATGAGGAAATAGAACTTAACATATCTAAATTCGCAGATGATACGAAGATAGGTGGGAAACTAAGCTGTGAGGATGACACACAAAGAATGCAAAGAGAAATAGACAGTCCAGGTGAGTGGGTAAGAAGGTGGCAGATGGAGTATAACGTGGGGAAGCGTGAAGTTATTCGCCTACGTAGTAAAAATAGAAAAGCGGATTATTTTCTAGAGGGAGAGAGACTGGGTAGTGTTAGTGTTCAGAGAGATTTGGGTGTCCTTGTACACCAGTCACAAAACGTTAGTATGCAGGTACAGCAAGCAACTAGGAAGGCTAATGCCATGTTGGCGTTCGTTGCAAAAGGGTTAGAGTACAAGCGTAGAGAAGTCTTGCTGCAGTTGTATAAGGCCTTGGTGAGACCACATCTAGAATATTGTGTGCAGTTTTGGTCTCCTTATTTAAGAAAGGACATTCTCACCTTAGAGGAGGTGCAGTGTAGACTCACCTGGGATGAGGGGGTTGACTTATGAGAAGAGGTTGAGTCAACTAGGCCAATATTCCCTAGAATATAGAAGAATTAGAGGTGATCTTATAGAAACCTATAAGATTCTTAAGGGTCTTGACAGGGTAGATGCCATGAGACTGTGTCCCCTGGTTGGACAATCTAAAACTAGGGGGTCATTGTCATAAGATTAAGGGTCAGTCTTTTCGAACTGAGTTGAGGCAACATTTTTTCACTCAGAGGGTAGTGAATTTGTGGATTTCTCTACCCCAGAAGGCTGTGGATGCTCAGTCCTTGAACATATTCAAGACTGAGGTTGATAGATTTTTAAAGAATAGAGGGATTAAGGGATACTGGGATAGGGTGGGTAAACGGAATTAGGTTAGAAGATCGGCCATGATCTTATTAAATGGTGGGGCAGACTTGAGGGGCCGAATGGCCTACTCCTGCTCCTACGTCTTATGGTCTTATGATAAGGAAGCATCTAAAACATCAATACAATTTCAAAACATAAATATAGGAACATACAGGCAGTATACTGTATATTTTGTGAAGCGCTTTGAGATGTCTTGAAGTGGTAAGGTGCAATATTAAATGCGAGGATTAGTATAGAATGGCAAACCCGGCTCAAGTGGCTGCGTGACTGAATTCCTATATTCCATTGTGAATTCCAGATTTTGTCAGTCTGTCTCTGAATCATCCTTTCCTGTGTAGTATTTATTTCAGGTCAGGTTTTTTTTAGAGACACAGATTTTTATAGGAAGGAACTGCTTGCACAGAAGGGGAGGAGGAAAGAGAAGTATATCACAGAATCGGCTATAAATTCAGACACTGAAAACAGCGGACAGTGTGAACACAAAGAATTAAGAGACGACCGCAAAAAAAAACCTTGGTTTGGTGAATGACAGTGCTGAAAAAAATAAAAAGTCACTGTTGCTAAGGATTGACCCAGAGATGAAGAATGGTGCCAACGAAAACCATATTCCCTTTCATTCTTTTTCACTCACTCACTCAATGTGGTAAGTCCATAAAGTCCTGATACCCCCATGTTTTCTCTCTCTGGTGCACTGACCAACAAATGAAACATGTAGAATGATAATAATAATAATCCTTGTATTTGATACAGCGCCTTATCATGTCTTTGAGACATCCCAAACCGTTTAACAGAATATGCCATAAAGTGTAGTGACTGTGTATTTTGTAGATGAAAAGTGGCAGCCAATTGTGCTCAGCAGTGCCCCACCAACAGTTCCAGATCCTCTCTCTTTCCCTCTCACTCTTTCCCTTTCATCTTTCTCTTTTACTGTCTCCTTTTTCTCCCTTCCCTTTCTCCCCTCTCTCTATCTTTCCTTTTCTCCTCTCTTTTTTTCCCTTTCTCTCCCTCCTCTCTTTCCCTTTTTCCTGTGGTTCCTGTTCTTTCACCCTCCCTGTGCTGCTCTGCCCCCCCTGGGCGGGGAGTGAGTGGGGCTGTGGGACCCGGAAGGGTGTGGGGGGTGTGGGGGTGAGGACAGCTGAGCTGCGCTGATACTGTCAAAGCTGTGAATATCAGGAAGTCAAATGGGATCTCTCACATCCTCTATTTGGTGCTGAGAGACAGAGAGGAAAGTTTTCAGTGTGAGTGCCCGACTCACTGCCTGTCTGCCTGTCTGCCTTACTGCCTGTCTGCCTCACTGCCTGTCTTCCTGCCTCACTGCCTGTCTGCCTGTCTGCCTCACTGCCTGTCTGCCTGCCTGCCTCACTGCCTGTCTGCCTGCCTCACTGCCTGTCTGCCTGCCTGCCTGTCTGCCTCACTGCCTGCCTGCCTGTCTGCCTCACTGCCTGCCTGCCTGTCTGCCTGCCTCACTGCCTGTCTGCCTGCCTGCCTGCCTGTCTGCCTCACTGCCTGCCTGCCTGCCTGCCTGCCTGTCTGCCTGCCTGCCTGCCTCACTGCCTGCCTCACTGCCTGCCTGCCTGTCTGCCTGTCTGCCTCACTGCCTGCCTGCCTGCCTGCCTGCCTGCCTGCCTCACTGCCTGGTTTGCTGTGGGGGGAGTGCATTCTGATAGCACCCAAAAAGGGGAGAGAAATCCGAGAACCTCAGCACTGACACAAGTCAGAAAGGAGAGAGTGAGGACTGTGTCAGTCTCAGCGCCACTACTGCACCGGAGGGTAAGTACAGACCCGATCCGCACTCACCTGGTGCGGGAGCAGCTGCTGTGTGAGTGTGACTGTGTGTGTGTGTGAGTGTGACTGTGTGTGTGTGAGTGTGAGTGAGTGTGAGTGACTGCTGTCAGGGGCTGCGCTGCTTGTGTTCAGAGGGCTACAGAAAAGAGGGAGAGGGGAGTGCAACTGATCTTCCTACCGAGGTCTAACCCTTACCCATTGCTCTAGTCATGTCCTCCATGTGTGAGTGTGTGTGTGTGTGAGTTTGTGTGAGTGAGTGTGTGTGAGTGTGTGTGTGAGTTTGTGTGTGTGAGTTTGTGTGTGTGTGTGAGTGTGTGTGTGTGTGTGTGAGTGAGTGTGTGTGTGAGTGTGTGGGTGTGTGAGTTTGTGTGTGTGAGTGTGTGTGTGTGTGAGTGTGAGTGTGAGTTTGTGTGAGTGTGTGTATGTGTGTGTGTGTGTGAGTGTGTGTGTGTGAGTGTGAGAGAGAGAGAGCCTGGCAGTCACTCTCTCGCTCCCTGGCTGTTCATGGGGGGGGGGGGGGGGTTTGCTTGTACCACAGACTGACCAAACTGTAGTGGTATCATTACAATGTCTAATAAGTCTTAAGGAAATTATGATATATATTTTTAGATAATCAGAGATCACGAACTTGTATTTTTTTGGTTGAAGGGGCGGTGGGAGGTAAACTCTCAAATCCGCTTAATGGGAGGGTCCCCAGGCCTCAAATTCCACCTTGTCTTTAGCTTGTGAGACCTTTTATTGGAGTTTTCTTTTAGTCAGCCAGGTGTCTAACCCACGTGGAAATACGTCAACATGATCAGGCGGGTGTCTTGACACACACGGAAACCCATTACCGTGATCAGCCTGACACACCGTTGCTTAAGAGTCTCCAACCCAAACTGAGATTTTCGTGCATCCCACCTACACATGGAAATCCCAGAGATAAGATTGTTGGAATGGAATGCGCGCTCCCTCTCCCTGGAGGGATGCATCTGCTTACCTAATTCCGGAAAGTATTAGGCAAAGGATAAGTTATATCACTAATAATCCCTTAAAAAAATAATAATAATGTGGTCACTCAATTCACGGCTGTTTGTGGGACTCTGCCGTGCACGATTGGCTGCTGCCTTTCGCCCACGCAATATGCAGTTTTTCAATATATTCAGTTTCTATATCACTTTACAGTGTAAAGTATATATACTTTATACTATATATAAAGTATACTATATATAAAGTATATAAGTATATACTATATACTTTTTAAAGTATATATACTGTGAAGCTCTTTGAGACATCTCAAGATATAAGGTATCAATTGCAAGGATTGTTATAATTCTCTGGTCTAAAGTCTGAATACTTCATAGCACAGTAGAAACCCGGTTTGCAGTCACCTCACAATTGTGGGCACATTTTCACGATCTCTTTCATCGGCAATATTAAAAGATAGGCTGCAGGCTGTCTGTTTGCTTCAGTAAGCCGGGCACCTCACTATTCAGTACAGCGGTCATTGATTGCGGACGCTACAGCACCCTCCTCCTCTTCATACGCGGTACAAACACCCCCACTTGCATTCAGAGCACATGGTTTGTGTACATTGTTTTGATTTACTGACTGTTGACAAGTGCTGTAAACATGCCAACACGCAAGGAGTTATCCTTACATGAGAGAGGGGACTTAATCAAAAACAGTGAGGGCAAAAGTCATACACAATTGGCTGTGATCTGTGGCACTGGTAAGAACACAAGTTGGATGCATTCACAAAAGGAGCGCTGAATACAGGACAGCTTTTTTAAATGTGGTAATGCCTTTATTTTAATGAGATTGCAAAGTCTGGTTGTTGAACGTTGATCACCCCTGCCCATTACTAATGCCCTTAACATTATATCAGTGACCTGAATCACTCGACCTGTTTTCGTAATCAGGTCACCTTATTAAGTAGATCACTTTTGCCCAGTTCCTTGAGTGACCGAATTAGTGAAGTTCTACTGTTAATTCCTGTCACGTGCGCTGACTGCTTTTGTGGTGTTGTGGGGGGGCTGAGCACTGATCCTGGAAGGGGGAAGGGTCTTTAACAAAATTAGAAGACACTGGGAACACTCAGCGGGTCAGGCAGCATCTATGGAGAGAGGAAAGTGAGTCAACGTTTTGGGTCTACGACCCTTCGTTAGAACTGGAGGGACTTTGGCTGTTATAATGTATTGTTAAACGCTCCGAGCCACTACCTTGCATGAAGGGTGCAATATACATGCAAGTTTTTCATAGATTCATAGATTGCACTGCTCAGAAACAGGCCGTTTGGCCCATCAGTCTGACTGCTGTTTACACTTCATACAAGTGCCTATCCCCAGATCCATATCCCAGCTTTTCCCATTGTCCCTCAGCTTTGTTTGTTGTTGAACAGTGGAATGAGATACGCTCAGGACAACTGAACTCATTCCATTGTTTTAATAATAACAACAATATTCACATTGGAACAGCATCTTTCACATCAGGAGGATGCCTCAAAGCGCTTCACAAGGTTCACTGTAAAATGTGGACGGAGCTTTATTCTGTCTCTAAACCTGACGTACTGAATCTCTAACCCGCACTGTCACTGAACTGGGAGTGTGGATAGAACTTTTTCTTGCTGAGCTGTTCAGGTCATCAGCTTTACTGGAGTAAGTGAGACTCCCTCGTATTTACCCTCCCTTCACTCTACTCCTCAAAGAGTGCTCTTAGGTAGTTGCGCACTATTTGAAGAACAAGAATCAGTCTTGTTCTCTGTGTGACACAGAGATTTTTCATAGAAATTCCACCACACAGAGGAGCCATTTGGAGCATTGAGCCTGTATTGATGCTCACATACTCGCAAGCGCGCACACACGCTGATGTGTGAGAGCAGACATGTGGTCACACGCATGCACATGCATTGTGCGTGGAATAACCCCTGCCCACATGCACAGTCAAACAAGAACTTGCATTTACACATGGGGCGTCTCAGTGCGCTTAACAGTGACGGAGCCTGACGCCGAGCCAAGGGGAGGAAGGAGGTGACGAGGGTGTTTGTGCCTCACACATCTGCTTGGAGGCCAAACTGATCAGCACAGAAATGTTTCCAGTTAAAAACAAACCCTCTTTGCACCATCACTGCCTGACGTGAGCATGTCCAAACACAGGCTGGAATTTGCAAGTTGGATGATGATGGACAAACTCTCTGTGTGCGGTTTCTCTTTTGTGTCAAGGGACTGGTTTTAATTGACTGAGTTCCTGGCTGGTTGGTTGGTTAGTCGATTGTCGGATCACTTTCTGGGGATAACATTCCCTTAAAAAAAATAATAATTTGGTCACTCAATCCACAGCTATTTGTGGGACACTGCTGTGTGCAATTGGCTGCCGGTTTCGTCCATATAATACAGTCGGTTTACTTACAGTATATTTGAGGAAGTCTCAAAGACGTGAAAAGGTGCTGTATGTAATGCAAGGATTATTATTGTTATTGGTTGTCTTGCTCGCCGGCTGAGACTGTATACTCAGGATTGCTGAGGGGGTTGAAGCTGGGAGAAACTTTGGGCTAGGATTGTGTAATCTATGTTATTTTTAAATTGTTGCCCAATTGGTATTAAAAACTTCATCCAACACTGCTATTCCACTCGCACGATAGGTCATCCCCGGGTTAGGGAACGTCAGCATCAGTCCTGGCACACTCCTCCTTGTGGGTGAAACCCAGCCACCAATTGCACATCGCAGTGTCCCACAGCAGTCGTGGATTTGAGTGCCCACTTCTTTTTCTGGAGGGATTATTACCCCCAGAAAGCGACCCACCAATCTACTGACAATCCAACTGAGCTCCTACTTACTACTAGATAAACAGAGGCGTGTGGAGTAAGGAAACTTGATCCATGACTGTCTGTAGGACATTGCTTTACGCAATTGGCTGCCGTGTTTCGCCCCAAAAATGCACAGTCATTGCACTTTACAGTATATTCTGTGAAGCGCTTTGAGTCCTCTTGAAAACATAATAAGGCGTTGTATCAAATGTAGGGATTATTATTATATTTTACCAAAGGTTTCACCCTGCCCGGGAATTGAACCAGGGCCCTCTGGCTTGTGAGGCGAGTGCTCTAACCACTAAGCTCTGAGACATTGTTTGCAGAGTGGGGGGACGGGAACGGGCAGTGTGATGGCCCTATACCCACGCCGGATCAGGTTGAAGCCGTGGCTGGTGGCACAGGTAGAGAGCGGGCAGTACCCGGGACTGCACTGGCTGGACGAGCAGAGGAAACACTTCCAGATCCCCTGGCGACACGCCACCCGCCACCTCCCCTCCCAGGAGGACGAGAACACCATCTTCAAGGTAACCATTTGCCCGCCTCCAATCACAGTCACTACACCGCACGGCAAAACCGTGGGAAGCACTTTGAGATGTGACAGGCACTGGATCGAACTCGAGGATTATGATCAGTTATTACTGTTTCTTTCACTCTCTCTCATTTTTGTTCCCTCTCATATTCTTACATTCTTTCACTCTCTCACATTTTTTCTTTCATGCTCTTTCTTACTCTCTCTTATCACTCTTTCTCTTGACATACTTGTCTCTCTATCTTATTTTCTCTCACCTCTCTCTCCCTCTATGTCACTGTCACACTCTCTTGTCTGTCTCTCTTACACTCTGTGTTTCTCTCGCCTCTCACACTGTCCGCTATCTGTCTCTCTTACGTGCTCTCTCTGTCACAGGCCTGGGCAGTGGAGACAGGGAAATACCACAATGGTGTTGATGACCCGGACCCAGCCAAGTGGAAAGCTAACCTGCGCTGTGCCCTGAACAAGAGCCGCGAGTTCAAGCTCATTTATGACGGCACCAAAGAGACTCCCATGCAGCCATTCAAGATCTATGAAGTGTGTGACTTGCTGCCAGCCAACAGCGGTGACATGACCCCTGGTGAGTGCCAGCCAGCACCCAGCCTGGCCCCCAGCCCCCAGGTGTGATTAGTAAGGTTACAGGGTTAAAAGGTGTCAATCTGGCTTGGTTGGTCGTCCCATCTGGGGTCCTGTAGCTCAGTGGTTAGAGCACTAGCCTCACAATCGAGAGGACCTGGGTTTACTTCCCAGGCATGGCTAAACATTGGGCAAGTTTCCTTACTCCACGCGCCTCTGTTTACCAGCAGTAACTGGGAACCTGGTGTTAGGCAATTGGCGGATCGCTTTCCAATTAATAATGTGGTCACTCAATCCACGGCTGTTTGTGGGACGCTGCTGTGCACAAATGGCTGCCGTGTTTCACCCACAAAACATGCAGTCAATTCACTTTACAGTATAATCTGTGAAGCGCTTTGAGATGTCGCGAAGACCTGGTAAGGCACTGTATCAAATGCAAGGAATATTATCATTATTATTTTATAGTTGATTGATTATGAATGTATCTGACGCCTCTCTTTCTTTCCAGATAACCACGAGTATGAATGGGATGAGGAGGATGAGGTAAGTGGTGTGAAGGGCACGGCGTTCCGAGGTAAAGGACAGGAGAGGGGAAGGCAGTGGGACTGACAGACTCTGGCTGAATGGCCTCCTTGTGTGCTGTAACACTCTGTGACTTTGCCCCCTCCCCCCAGGCCTTCGATTGAGTGGTGGTCTCGCTGAGTTGGGTTCAGAATAGCGTCCCTCAGCATGACTGGGAGGATGGCGGGGGTGGGCATAGGGTCTACTTGAGCAGGACATCCTGCCCTGTAGAGGTGTGGGTTACAGAGAGACCCTCACGCTCACAATGGAGTGAGCAACGAGCACTGAGCAAGGCTGCCAGCAGCTGAGGTTGGAGGTGACGAGTTGGGTGGTGTCCAGTGGAGCGGAGGATGTTGAGGGTCTGATGGAGGGTTTTGGTTGACGGCTGGTATGAGAGGATAAAGGGAGAGGTACACCCACCCACTGGCCTGTGAGTGATGAGAGACAAACACTGCTCGTGCCGGAGAGGAGAGGTTAGTTAGGCTGTGTTTATCCCAAGAGTGTAGGGCTGTCTCAGCACAAAGCTGGTGTGGGCGGGCGAGTCACGTCTCTGCTTCTCTCCACAGCGACAGCTACACGACATGATGCCAACCATGAGCCTAGATGGTGAGTGCACTGACTACCCCCTCAGCCCCACCCACCCCTTCACGCTTTGTGCCCAATCTCCTGCCAGCAGGCAGTGCCAAGCTCCAAGTCCCCCTCCCCTAAACACTCCACACACCCAACCCCCTAAACACTGTATGGCCAACCTCCTCCCAGCGCCTAGTTCACCCCCAGCCCCCTCCTCACTCTCCGCACCAATCCCATCCCAGCATCCAAGTGCCCAGCCTCTTCTTACACCCCTGCCCATCACTCCCCCTGCCCCACCCCACCTTCCCTGCTGAGCTTTGATTCATAAACGTGTAGGGCTGTCAGTGACGGGCTGCCATGGTTTGACAATTCTCATGTTGCGTTTGTCTGTTTACCTGTTACAGAGGGGCCGATGGTGGCGCTGCCCCCTTACCCACTGCACACGTGGCCCAAACAGGAGCTGGTGATTCCCAACACTTGTATGAATGGAGGCGTGACTCACCCAGCTCTCCGGCCAGCCGAACTCTCACACACAAACCTGGCTCACACAGACCTCCAACATCCCAGCCTCATCCACACCAATCTGGACCCCAACACTGCTCCTGTGGGGGACATCACCCATAGCAACATGGATCTGCTCCCCCCCCACTGCCAGCCCACCGACCATTTCCCTGACTTCATGACGCCAGAGATGTTCATCAGCTCTCTGCCCCGTGAGTTTCTCCAATAGTTAGTGAGCAGGGAATGGGGTTGGACTAGAGAGCTCCAGTGGGAGAGCGAGCCCCAGCATAGACACGATGGGGAGAGAGAGAGAAGGGATTGGGGTTAGAGTAGAGAGCTCCAGTGGGGGAGCGAGCCCAGCACAGACACGATGGGGAGAGAGAGAGAGCAGGGAATGGGGTTAGAGAGTTCCAGTGGGGGAGCGAGCCCCAGCACAGACACGATGGGGAGGGAGCAGTGAATGGGATTGTGGTAGAGAGCTCCAGTGGACTCATACTCTCTCTCTCTCTCTTATTGTGAGGCAGTGACTGACCTGGATGTGAAGTTCCATTACCGCGGCAGGCAGTTGGGTTCAGTAACGGTCAGTAACCCTCACGGTTGCCGGCTGTACTATGGTGACCTGGGACCCCTCCCAGACCAGGTGGAGCTGTTCGGGCCAGTCACACTGGAGCAGGTCCGCTTTCCCAGCACGGAGGGGCTCCCCAACGAGAAGCAGCGTTTCTACACCAACCATCTGCTGGACGTGATGGACCGCGGACTGATCCTGGAGATCCACGGGCAGGACATCTACGCCATCCGCCTGTGCCAGTGTAAGGTTTTCTGGTCAGGACCCTGCCTCGACGGCCCTGCCCGACCCACCCCCATCGAGAGGGAGAAGAAAGTCAAGCTGTTCAGCCTAGAGAACTTCTTGAGCGGTGAGGAGAGGCTGAGTCTGTTTGTGAGGGGGTGTGAGAGGTTGTGTCTGTAGTTGATTGGTGAGTAGTCATTGGTGTGTGGTGATGGATTGATTGGATGGGTGTTGGTGGTGAATAGTGTGTATTGATTGGCAGGTGGTGATTGTTGTGTTGTTGTTGTCCTCATCTCTGCGCCCCCCCCACCGCCCCCCCAGCAGCTCCCACCTTTTGTTCAGGTGACAGTATAGGACTGTCAATCACTCAACATGACTTGGTGTTGTGTTTTGTGTTTGTTGAGTTTCCTGTGGGAGATAATGGGTCAGACCTTGGGGTGGGGGGGATGTTTAGATGGCTGCTGAGTCTCGACACTCCAGCACAGTGCAGTGCCGGGGGGAGGGCGATGCCATCCTTTGGGTGCGATATTAAACCCAGCTCTCCTCTGTGCCCTCTTCAGGATGTTGAAGATTGCAGCGCTGTTGGGAAAGAGAAGGGAGTTTCTCTCTCCCTCCCCGTGTCCTGGCTGACAATTCCCCAGATACAATCACTTATTTTCTTCATGGCTATTTGTCGGGATGTCACTGTGCGCAAATTGGCTGTAGCGATCGCTTACAAAATACGCAGTCATTACATTTTATAGTAAACTCAGTGAAGTGCTTTGAGGAGTTTCAATGAGGCTGTATGAAATGTGAGAATTGTAAATGTGTCTGCCGTGGCTGTGCTGATGTGTGTGTGAGACTGTGGTAATGCCAGTGTAAGGCTGTGTGTTAATGTCCCGCGCTGAGGCTGTGTGTTAATGTCCCGCGCTGAGGCTGTGTGTTAATGTCCCGCGCTGAGGCTGTGTGTTAATGTCCCGCGCTGAGGCTGTGTGTTAATGTCCCGCGCTGAGGCTGTGTGTTAATGTCCCGCGCTGAGGCTGTGTGTTAATGTCCCGCGCTGAGGCTGTGTGTTAATGTCCCGCGCTGAGGCTGTGTGTTAATGTCCCGCGCTGAGGCTGTGTGTTAATGTCCCGCGCTGAGGCTGTGTGTTAATGTCCCGCGCTGAGGCTGTGTGTTAATGTCCCGCGCTGAGGCTGTGTGTTAATGTCCCGCGCTGAGGCTGTGTGTTAATGTCCCGCGCTGAGGCTGTGTGTTAATGTCCCGCGCTGAGGCTGTGTGTTAATGTCAGTGTAAGGCTGAGGCTGTGTGAGAGTTTTCCAGCTGACAGTGGCCTCTGTGCTGGGTTCCCAGAGTTGATCCTGTACCAGAAAGGCCAGGCCAGTGTAGCCCCGCTGTACGAGATACACCTGTGCTTCGGGGAGGAGTGGCCGGATGGCAAACCCAGGGAGAAGAAGCTCATCATGGTGCAGGTAACGATGCTCCGCCCGGGGGGGTGGGTTTCCCCCATGACGCTTTGCCCTGGGGGTGGGTCTCGCAACACCCTGCCCAGGAGCGTGGGTTCCCCACAACACTCCACCGGGGGGCGGGGGGGGGGGGGGAGATAGGGGAGGGAATGATTCCCTGCTCCTCCCTGCCTTGGGGGTCCCTGGCAATGAGCCCCGGGGGAGGGAGGTATTTCTCTGCCCTGCTGGTCTGTGCCTCTGATGCTGCTCTCTCTATGGCAGGTGGTCCCGGTGGTTGCCCGCATGATGTCGGAGATGTTCTCGGGGGAGCTGTCCTTTGACAGTGGCAGTGTGAGGCTGCAGATCTCTAACCCTGACCTCAAGGACAACGTGGTCCTGCAGTTCAAGGAGCTTCACCGGCTGCTGCAGTCACAGCACGAACCCGGCCAGTGGCCAGTCCAGCCTCTGCCCCCCTGCTAACCTGCCGTGAGAGACTCCATGATAGAGAGACACAGAGAGAAGAGACTCAGAGAGAGAAACACCGCCACTGAGAGACAGAGAACGTGAGCGTGAGGAGCCCAGCCATTGCCACCCACCAACCTGCAGTGAGGGACACTTGAGAGACAGAGAGCGCGGGCGTGAGGAGCCTGGACACTGCCACCCACCGACCTGCAGTGAGAGACACCATCATCAAGAGAGAGAGACGGAGACACAAAGAGAGATACAGAGACACATAGAGTGACTGTGAGGAGCGCAGACACAGCCCTGGAAAACAAGGACATCCCATTCTTCTGCCGAAGTGGCCAACACTGATTCTATTGGGAATGTCGCCTCTCACTTTCCCGAGGATGGATTTTGTCGGGAGATTTGATTCCCTGTCGTATTACATTCTGTAAATAGTAAGACTGCTTCCCGCACACTCACATTCCCAATAAACCCAGAACAGAGAGAGCGGTCGTTGCTTCTGTTCCTAACTGAGTGAGGACAATCCCAGGACAGCCCAGCAACTCCCCCACACAGTGGCCATGTGTTTTTTCTCCCCCCCCACGGTTTAAGCAGTGGGATTGTCAGCCAGGACACTGGAGGGTGGGAGAGAGAGAACTTCCTTCTCATAAATACCTCAAATCATCAGACCTCAATGGAATGGAAACAGAAATGGAATCCATTTTTCTTTTATGAATAATAATATAATTCTTGCATTTGATACAGTGTCTTATCACGTCTTTGAGACATCTCAAAGTGGGGGGTGAACGGGGAAGTGGGGGGTTGTTATCTCAAGGGGATGGAAACGAGAAAGGAATGATGGGAAGGAAGCGATCTGAGGAGGGAGACAACGGAGGAAGGGTTGGAGACAGGAAACATCCTCAGAACAAAATGTGAATATAGTTTAATTGTTCTCGCGATGGCTACACCAGCCGGAACAGCACCTGCCCTTGAACCCTCCCCCCCACTCCCCTCCCACCCGTAACAGCAGGTACAGCACTGCAAAGGGCAGCCGGTTGCCAATTTCCCCCCAAATGCGTTGGCGATGCCAGGCCAGTAAACTGCTCACAGACACACACTGGGGGGGCAATGTTTACCCAGTGGAGGGTCTCCCACACTCCGAAGGGCAGGTTCCTCCCAGAGACCTCCGGCTCCGCCTCCAGCATCAACCAACACTGGAACCCCACCCTATAGAGCAGTGTGGCCCATGGGCCGGAAGTGGCCCCCTCCCCCCCGAACATGCTCACGGGTTATGTGCTCGATGGGTCATGTGTTTTAGGGTATTTTCGTGATTGAATAAATCTTGATTTATGACTTAAACCGAGAACTATTCAGTCAAGAACATTTTTCTTGTCGGCCGACCATAAAAGTTGCCCACCACTGCTGTAGACTTTCTCTCTCCCCATATATATATATATATAAAGATATATCTCCTTATATAATGTGTGTATATATGATACACATATATATATATATATATATATTCACACATTATATATACATATACACATATATATATAGAGGTTCTTACCCAGCTGATGCCAAGTACAATAATTAAATCTTTCCTGTCCATTAAAAAGTTAACAGTTTATGATTTTCCTCCGCCCTCTTCCCCCCACAAAAAAAAAGTTCAATCAGTTCCTGATGCTTTAAGCACGGTGCGTTTTCCCTCAAATTCCCTTTCCCTCCCTTCCTCCCAAACCCATCCCACGCTCCCCCCCCAAAAAAGCCAAATAATAAAAACAAACAAAAAATTATTAATATCCCTCCATGAAGGAAGGGATCTCAGCTGTTTCCAGGTTGTTACATTCCAGATTCTGGGATTGACAGCCCAGCTTTGAGGCAGTGACTGTGTCCCACACCCCATTCGCACGCGCGCCATTGTGGGCTTGTTGAGGGGAGGGGTTCTGCGTTCCCCCCTCCCCGCCCTGAAATCCCCCCCCTCCCCCACCCTGAGGGCCTGACGCACAAAGCCAGGGAAGCGGGTGCTGGGTGCCGGTACGCAGTCGGTAGGTTTGGCACTTCTCTCTCTCTCTCTCTCCCAGACTACGGACCTTCATTCCTGCGTTCGGATATCTCGGAAATTCCTACTGCGATCCGGCCATGGCATCTACTATTGATTTGATTCACAATTTCCGGTCTTTTTTGTTTGATCCTCTGTGAGTGGGGAGAGACGAGGGAGAGAGAGAGAAAACACAGCACGTTATCCTGGGGTTACACTAAGTCTTTATCTTATCTCAAGGGCAAAGTGAGATCACACACCTCACCTCCAACACGGTCACCACACTTCACAGTAAAATCCGGTGAAGCCGATTTCTCACACACACCACACACAGAGTACATGTCTCACACACACACACACAGTACGTGTCTTCTCTCTCTCACACACACACTGTACATGTCTCACAGACACACACACACACGTGTGTATGAGAGCCTTACCTGAGAAACAGATGCGAGTCTTGGGTTTGTGAGCACAGCTATCGGAAGAGTCGTGTGAAGTCTCTCAGAGCCCAGCAAACCTTCTTACATTCATCAGCGCTGTAACAGGGAGGAAAGAGCGTCAGCGAGAGGTGAGGATGGGGGGGGGGGGGGGAGAGTGGGGCCGTGTCAGTCAGCCCCCAGCGAAGAGAAAGTGTCATTCCCCAGTCCCTACACAGAACCTGATTAATAACAACAATAATAATAATCCTTGCATTTGATATAGAGCCTCATCATGTCTTCAAGGTGTATCAAAAGCTCTTCACAGGGAGTTACTGTCAGGTGTAGTGACTGTGTATTTGTAGACGAACATGGCTGACATTTGGCACACAGTATGGCCCACAAACTGCTGTGAGCGATTAGGAGGAGAGCAGAGCCGTTTGATCCCGGGGTTAGACTCCCCCACTGGAGCTCTCTACTCTCACCCCATCCCCTGCTCTCTCTCCCCATGGTGTCTGTGCTGGGGCTCGCTCCCCCACTGGAGCTCTCTACTCTAATCTTTGACTGTTCAGTGCTTGGGAGGTCCTCCCGATGTGAAAGGCGCTGTGTAAATATAACTTGTGTGTAAACTCTCTGCATATCAATTCAGCCATCAGAAAACAATGCAAGTGTGGATACCAATCAGAGGCATTAGGAACATAGGAACAGGAGGAGGACATTCAGTCCCTCGAGCCTGTTCTGCCATTCCATTAGATCATGGCTGATCTGTACCTCAACTCCATTTACCCGTCTTTGCCCCATATCCCCTGACCTGACAAACATCTCTCCACCTCAGTCTTGAAAATTTGAATGGATCCAACATTCAACTTCCCCCCACAAACAGCTACATTCAAACCAGAACCGAAAGCACAGCCATCGCCTCCCAGTTCCTCATAAACTAGTTAGTTAACTTGCTGAAACCACCCCAGTCATACCAGTAAACAGGCCGTGCTGAGCAACATTGCCAATACGCCCGCAGCAAGGCTTGCAGCCTTGGTAGGTGACATCCACATTCACAGCTCAAGCCAGGACTTGTACAGATCGGCCTCCACACTCCACACAGCACCTGTCAGCAGTCTGTCCGTTTGTCTGTGCAGGTGTCTGTCTCCTCTCCCCACCCTCCCCACACCCAGCGGCCAATTAGTCATGAGAGGAACATCTACCACAGCCAGGAGCACGTCAGGACGTCCAACAGCACAGATTAAGACTATTAGACACACAATTAATATCACGCCGTATAAACTGGCTTCACTGGAGTCCTGTAGCTCAGTGGTTAGAGCACTCGCTTTGCAAGTGAGAGACCTGAGTTCAATTCCAGGCAGAGGGCCAAACCTTGGGCAAGTTTCCTTACTCCACACAGAGCCTAATAATAATCCCTCCAAAACAAAAAACAATAATAAATTGGTCATTTTCAATCTACGACTGTTTGTAGGACATTGCTGTGCGTTCGCCCACAAATATACAGTCAATTCACTTTACAGTGTGTTCTGTGAAGCGCTTTGGGAAGTTCTCCCGACGTGAAAAGCGCTATATCAAATGCAAGGATTATTATTATTATTCACTGGCACAGACAGAGCGAAGAGAGGGAATTAATGCGATAGTCCGTAGTTATTCTTGCTGGGAGCGACAAGCACAGGGTCTGAATGGGGATGTGGTTGAAGAGCTAGCACGGGGAGATCTCAGCTCCCACACCTCCCCCAGCCTCGCCTGATCTCGCCTCACCAGCCCCCCACCGCTCACCTTGTGACTTGTTTGTGAAAGTCAGTCAGCTGTTTGTGTGTCACTGTAACAGCTCCCCCTGCCGTCTCCTTCGGTAAAGATTTAAGTGATGTTTCAAGCCACCGGCAAAAGATCTGAGGGAGAAGTGAGAGGTCACAGCCCTGGCCACAGGCACAGCCCCAGCTACAGCCCCCACCCCCAGACTCAGCTCCCGGCCAAAGCCACAGCCCCCAGTACCGGTCAGTCACCAGGCTCTTTGAAGAACAAATTAGATGGATTTCTGCTAGTAAGTAATATCTGGGGAGAGATACAGTATATAGTTTGGGACACGAATGTCAAGCAGCTGCCAGGATGGTGGAAGGTGAACGAGATGGACCTTGGTCTACTTTCGTCCAGCAAATTCTTACGTTCTAGGTTTGGTTGAAGAGGAAGGTCTTCAGGCTCGACCTGAAGGAGTTGACGAGGTGATGAGATGGAGGGACAGAGGGAGCGAGTGACTTACCGCACGGTCGATCTGCATGATCTCCCAGATGACCTCGGCCAGGTCGGGCAGGGTGTAGGGAGGCAGGCAGAAGCACACGGCCTGTAGGAGCTGGTTGACCAGATGCTGTCCATGTTGTGCCATCACCTCCTTGATCAGCCCCTTCCTCAGCTCAAAGTCATCTTCGTGCTGCAGTGACAACAACAATAATAATCCTGACATTTGATACGGCGCCTTATCACGTTGTTGAGACGTCTCAAAGCGCTTCACAAGATATATTGTAAAGTGAATTGACTGTGTATTTTGTGGGTGAAACACGGCAGCCAAATGCGCACAGCAGTGTCCCACAAACAGTCGTGGGTCGAGTGACCAAATTATTATTTATTATTATTCGGGGGAGGGATTATTACCAGTGGAAAGTGATCCAACAATTGACTAACCGGGTTCCTACTTACTGCTGGTGACTCAAACCCAGGTCCTGTAGCTTGCGAGGCGAGTGCTCTAACCACTGAGTTACAGGTTATTGGACTATATGATGATTGCTACGAGACTCACTGGGGCCAAACATCCTCCTCCTGTGCTGTAACTCTCCCTGACTGTGTGATGGTGCAGGGAGGTTCCCTGGGGAGCGAGCGAGGACGGTCGGCTGACTCACGTCTTTGGAAACGCCAGTGTGGATAAGGTCTCTGAGGAACTTCATGATGCTGCAGTTGGCGTCCCTGTGGTCCAGGATGACAGCAGCGATGGCACAGTTCAGGATGTGGACAATGATCTGGCTCTGCAGCAGGGTGGCCGGGCTCCGCTGGATAAACCTGGGGAACAGCGAGGGCTCAATCAGCCGCCCAACCCAGCCCAGCCAACCGCCCAGCCCAGCCAACCGCCCAGCCCAGCCAGCTAGCCCGGCCAGCCAACCGCCCAGCCCAGCCAGCCATCCGCCCAGCCCAGCCAGCCAACCGCCCAGCCCAGCCAGCCAACCGCCCGGCCCAGCCAACCGCCCAGCCCAGCCCAGCCAGCCAACCGCCCAGCCCAGCCAGCCAACCGCCCAGCCAGCCCAGCCCAGCCAGCCCGGCTCAGCCAGCCCGACCCAGCCGCCCAGCCCAGCACAGCCAGCCGCCCAGCCCGGCTCAGCCAGCCAGCCGCCGCCCAGCCCAGTCCAGCCAGCCAGCCCTCCACCCCGCTTGGCTCTCATCTCCCCTCCCTCCCACATGATCAGCTCCCACAACAAGCCCCCCGCCCCCCATGTTCTAAGCACGTTTAAAACACACGTGTTATATATGACATCCCAAGGCTCCTTATAACAGAGTCGCTCTGTGCTGTTTCAAGGAGTCGAGGCGCTGCGACAAAGTGACCTCTCCCACTCTCTCTCCCTCTCACTCGTTTTGTTGCTCCCATTCCTCATCCCTCCCTCACTGTCATTCCCTCGCTCCCCCTCCCTCCCTCGCTCCCCCTCCCTCTCGCTTGCCCCGCCCAGTCACTGACCCCTCTTCTGCTCTCACCCTCCTCCACAACACCCTCTCCTCCACACTTGACACTCTTGCCCCCATCACCTCCCGTACTGTCTCCTACTCTCGCTCCTCCCCCTGGTTCACCACCCACCTCCGCTCACTAAAGAGCCAGGTGCGGGCCGCTGAACGCACCTGGGTCAAATCTGGCCTAACGGTCCACCGACAAATCTGGCTGGACCTCCTCAAAACCTACCGCTCCACTCTAGCCTCGGCCAAGTCGTCCTTCTACTCCAGGATAATCCTGGAGGCGAAGAACAACCCCAGGCTACTGTTCTCTACCACATCCCAACTCCTCCGTCCCCCCGCCCCCCCGCGCAGGTCATCTCCTCCAACCTTCACTGCGAGGAGATGCTGGATTTCCTTGAATCCAAAATCAAGGGAATCCGCTCCGCGGTCACTTCCCCTCCAACATCCACCCACCACCCACCCCTTCCCTCCCACACTCCGACTCCTACCCATCCTCCCCTACACACTTTCGTACCCGTTTCCCCACCCTCTGTCACCAAACTCATCCTATCCCTGAAACCCACCACCTGCTCCCTTGACCCCATCCCCACTCCACTCCTTATCTCCCAGCTCCACCTCCTTGCCCCACATATCACAGACATCGTCAACCTGTCCCTCTCCTGTGGCTCTGTTCCCATTCCCTTAAAAACTGCCACCATCACTCCCACCTTGAAAAAACCCTCCCTTGATGCGTCGCAGCTATCAAGCTACCGGCCCATCTCCAACCTCCCCTTCCTGTCCAAGGTCCTGGAACGAGTTGTCGCCTCACAGCTGCGCTCTTTCCTCTCCACCCATTCATTATTCGAACCCCTTCAGTCAGGTTTCCGTGCTGCCCATAGCACAGAAACTGCCCTGGTCAAGGTCACCAATGACATCCTGACCATCTGTGACCAGGGCTCCCTCTGCCTCCTCGTCCTCCTCGACCTATCGGCAGCATTCGATACGGTCGACCACACTATCCTCCTCCACCGCTTGTCCTCCCACCTCAACCTTCAAGGCACTGTCCTTGAGTGGTTTAGGTCATACCTCTCCCACCGTCTTCACTTTGTCTCCACGAATGTTTTTTTCTCCACCCCCCGCACTGTCTCGTGCGGTGTCCCTCAGGGCTCTGTCCTCGGTCCCCTCCTCTTCACCCTCTATATGCTCCCCCTGTGGTGACATCATCCGCAGACATGGGGTTAACTTCCACATGTATGCGGATGACACCCAACTCTACCTTTCCTCCTCTACCCTCAACTCCACGACCCCCGATGTCCTGACAGCTGCCTGTCCGACATCGAGTCCTGGACGAGAGACAACTTTCTTCAGCTCAACGTGCGAAAAACCGAGGCCCTCCTGATTGGCTCACGTCAGCGCCTCCGCACCTCAGGCGCTGACACCATCAGCATCCAAGGCTGCACTCTCCACCTCTCAAAGCCATCAGGAACCTCGGGGTTTTGTTCGACTCTGAGCTGTCCTTTCTCCCTCATATCCGCTCCACAACTGGCACCGCCTTCCATCACCTCCGGAATGTCGCCAGACTACGGCACTACCTCACCCCTCACGCGGCTGAAACTCTGGTCCACACCTTTATCACCTCAAGGCTGGACTATGGGAACTCTCTCCTCGCCGGCCTTCCCGGCCTTCCCTCCACACTGCAGGTCATTCAGAACTCTGCAGCTCGTGTACTGTACCGCACCAGACACCGCGCCCACATCACTCCCACCCTCACCCTCACCCTCACCCTCGCCCTCGCTCGCCTCCACTGGCTCCCCATCCCCCAGAGGATCGAATTCAAGATCCTCATCCTCACCTACAAGGCCATTCACGGCCTCGCTCCCTCCTACCTCTCCGACCTGCTATCCCCCTACCAACCTGCCCGTACCCTCCGTTCCTCCGGCTCCGGTCTGCTCCACATCCCCCGCCCCAACCGCCCTACCATCGATGGCCTTCAGCCTCTCAGCCCCGAGGCTCTGGAACTCCATCCCCAGTGCCTTCGCCGCTTCCTCCCTTTCCTCCTTCAAGGCCGGTCTCAAAACCTTTCTCTTTGACCTTCAGCCTTCAGCTCCCCTCTCGACTCTCTACCCCCTCCTCGCTCCCTCCCTTCCCTCCCCTCCCCCTGACCATTTCTCCACAGCTCTGGTCCTGACCCAACAGTACAGCGCCTTGGGACGTCCTCCCGACGTGAAAGGCGCTCAATAAATGGAATCTTGTTGCTGTTGTTGTTGCTCCCTCTCCCTCTCACCTGGTCGCCAGGCGGAAGAGGTCGTCCACAGTGTCGGGATGATCCCGAAGGCCATTTGGCTGCTCCAGCAGCTGGAATGTCGGCATACACAGCGCCTGGGGATTAACATGGGATCAGCACCTCCTGCCAACAATAACCCCTCAGCCCTCACTGCCCCGTCTAACCCCACTCTCCCCCCAGTCTAACCCCACTCTCTCCCCCCAGTCCAGCCCTGCTCTCCCCTCATTGGGGAGCACTGACCTGCACCATGTCCAGCAACCCCTGCCGACAGCCCTCCTCCATCCCGTACTCGTCCACCAGGATACTGCCCAGGTACAGGAAACAGGAGTGAGGGTGAACCCGGTACACATTCACCATCTGTGTCAGGAGCAACAGAGAGAGAGAGTGTGTGAGAGAGAGGATGAGGGGAAGGAAAGAGGGAGGGAGGGAGGCTCTATATAAATGCAAGTTGTTGCTGCTGTACCCCCCACAGCCTTTGTTTATCCCAACACCATCCCTGTGAAGGGCTCCGAGAGAAGTTAGTGTGAGGGTCTCGGAGACGTTAGTGTGAGGGTCTTGGAGACGTTAGTGTGAGGGTCTCGGAGACGTTAGTGTGAGGGTCTCGGAGACGTTAGTGTGAGGGTCTCGGAGACGTTAGTGTGAGGGTCTCGGAGACGTTAGTGTGAGGGTCTCGGAGACGTTAGTGTGAGGGTCTCGGAGACGTTAGTGTGAGGGTCTCGGAGACGTTAGTGTGAGGGTCTCGGAGACGTTAGTGTGAGGGTCTCGGAGACGTTAGTGTGAGGGTCTCGGAGACGTTAGTGTGAGGGTCTCGGAGACGTTAGTGTGAGGGTCTCGGAGACGTTAGTGTGAGGGTCTCGGAGACGTTAGTGTGAGGGTCTCGGAGACGTTAGTGTGAGGGTCTCGGAGACGTTAGTGTGAGGGTCTCGGAGACGTTAGTGTGAGGGTCTCGGAGACGTTAGTGTGAGGGTCTCGGAGACGTTAGTGTGAGGGGTTTGTGCTCTGAAGGAATTGTACATGGCCCTAGTGCTCGCTGTCACCCTCTGGTGGCAGGAGACACGTACTGCAAGAGGTTCCCCGTTCACATCAACTGTCCTCCGTGAGGGGGGGGTAACAGGGACTCCTTGGAACTGAAGTTACCCCAACCCACACTCAAGCCTTGGCTTTTGCCAACCTGCACCTAACAGCGCCTTGGGACGTCCACCACCCCTCTCCCCTGGATCATCTCTCTCCCCCTCCCAAACCCCAGGCCGCTCTCTCCCCCCCAGACCCCCTCTCTCGCCCCCAGACCCCATCTCTCCCCCCCGCCTCCCTCCTCGCCCCCTCGCGTTGTGGGACCACCTGCCTGTGTGACCAGGGGCTGGAGCAGAGCGGCTGACCCTTTGCCCACACAGCGCACAGCAAACCGCAGGCAACGACAGCAACGCTCCACAATCCGGTTGTCCCCCTGGTGCTTGTTTAGGGTCTCGGAAAGAACAGGCCAGATCTGTGCCAGGAGGGAGAGAGGGAGGGCGGGCGGGCGGGCGGGAGGGAGGGAGGGAGGGAGGGAGGGCAAGAGAGAGGGGGAGAGGGAACACGAGTGAGGATTAGAGACAGCGACATAATAATAATAATCTTTGTATTTGACACAGCGCCTCATCACGTCTTCGAGACGTCTCAAAGCACTTCACAGGATAAAGTGAATTGACTGTATGTTTTGTGGGCGAAACGCAGCAGCCAATTGCGCACAGCAGCGTCCCCACAAACAGCCGTGGGTTCAGTGACCAAATTATTATTATTTTTTTTTTGAAGAGATGATTACCCCTTGAAAGTGAGCCGCCAATCAACTAACAACCGGGTTCCTACTCACTGCTGGTCAACAGGTGTGTGGAGTAAGGAAACTTACCCATTCTGCCCAGGAATCAAACCCAGGTCCTCCGGCTTGCGAGGCGAGAGCTCTAACCACAGGTAACCAGTGTGGAGGCAGTAAATCACAAATCACTCCCTCCCCACTGAACCCCTCCCCCGGCCCCTCACCATCACACACACACACTTACTTCATGTATGACCTTCTGACACGGGTGTGTTTGTCCGTTTTCCACAATAGGGTTTGTGTGTCTGAAACGGGACAGAGTTAAACATTAGGGTCACCTGTTCTGCACCCAAACCCACGACACTGTCCATCTCCATCACATTCCCCCGGACACACAGCCTGGGAATCACACTCAGTGTGTCCACAGCTCAGGTCAGCCACACCTGGAGCTAATAATAATAATAATCCTTGCATTTAATATAGCGCCTTATCACATCTTCGAGACGTCTCAAAGCGCTTCACAGAATATACTATAAAGTGAATTTTGTGGGCGAAACGTGGCAGCCACAGAGTGTCCCACAAACAGTTGTGAAGGGATTGTGCCTGAAGACCTTCCGTTTTGACTGTATCTACAGTCACCTCCCCCTCCCCCCAGCTCGGTGTCGTGTCAAGCTATCAAGCGCTCTGGGACGCTATCCTGCGTGAGGGGTGCTGTGTAAATGCAAGTTGTTGTTGTTGTACGATTTATACAGATCAGAATTATGTGTATTTTACCGGACAGAGAGATAGAGAGATAGAGGGAGAGAGAGAGAGAGAGAGAGAGAGAGAGAGCCTGCGCTGGCTCAGGCTGACTGACCTGAAGATGACGGCCAGCCGATCCAGCCAGATGGTGGGGTCCGTGGCTAATCCGTTCCCCGGCTCCTGGGCCAGAAGCTGGAAGCAAAGCAGGTGTCAGTCCGCTCCCTCGCCCCCATTCCCACCTCGCTCTCACACTCACTCGCTCCCACTGTAGGTTCAGGCCCATCTCAGGGACCTGGAGCTCACATTCCCGCCCCCCACTCCCCCCCACCACCCATGCACAGACATGTTCTAACCTCCCCTTTCACTCCCTGGTTCTGACTCTCCGAAATTTGTGCCATCCGCCCAAAATGGTCATTCCCTGTGTACGTATGTGTGTCACTCACTCAGTGTGTGTGTGTGTGTCACTCACTCAGTATGTGTGTGTGTGTGTCTCTCACTCACTGTGTGTGTGTCTCACTCACTGTGTGTGTGTGTGTGTGTGTGTGTGTCTCACTCACTGTGTGTGTGTGTGTGTGTGTCTCACTCACTGTGTGTGTGTGTGTGTGTGTCTCTCTCTCTCTCTCTCTGACTTTCTCTCTGCCTCCTCCTGAAGTCAACACCAACAAACAGAGCGAGCATTGATGAGAGAGAGTAGCTGCCCTTCCAGATGGGAGCTACGGGTCGGTGGGGGGGTCAGATTATGGACGGACAGGTTATGGGGGGGGCAGGTTATGGGGGGGCAGGTTATGGGGGGGGCCAGGTTATGGGGGGGGCAGGTTATGGGGGGGGCAGGTTATGGGGGGGCAGGTTATGGGGGGCAGGTTATGGGGGGCAGGTTATGGGGGGGCAGGTTATGGGGGGCAGGTTATGGGGGGCAGGTTATGGGGGGCAGGTTATGGGGGGCAGGTTATGGGGGGCAGGTTATGGGGGGCAGGTTATGGGGGGGCAGGTTATGGGGGCAGGTTATGGGGGCAGGTTATGGGGGGCAGGTTATGGGGGGCAGGTTATGGGGGGCAGGTTATGGGGGGGGCAGGTTCTCAGAGGTACCTTTTTGAGGGCGAGCACTTGCACGGCACACAGCTCACTGAGGCATTTGGTGATCTTGTCAAGTGGAAGGCGACAGAGAACTAGGGCCGTGCCTGAGGAGACAACAGTCACAGTGAGACCCCCCACCACATAGAGGTCACAGCACCCCCTCACCCCCCTCACCGGCCACACACCACCCTATTGTTCACAACAACAACTTGCATATATATATATACATACACAACACACACACCCACCCCCCAGGCAGAGGGTGTCGTCCCAGACTGCTCGACAATAACAAGTACAGGTTTGGCACCTGAGCAAAGACTGTACCAATAAACCTCTCACTGTAGTCAATCCATTTTACAATGTATTCTGCGAAGCGCTTTGAGACATCTTGAAGACATAAGGCGCTGTATCAAATCCAAAAATTATTATTATTATTGTTCTTATCAAGTCTTAAAGCGCTTCACAGAATATATTCTGAAGGGTAGTATTTTGGGGGTGAAACGCAGCAGCCAATTGCGCACAGTGTCCCACAAACAGTCGTGAATTGAGTGACCAAATTATTATTATTTCTTGGAGGGATTATTACCCCCAAGAAAGTGATCCACCAATCGACTAACAACTGGGTTCCTACTCACTGCTGGTAAACAGGGGAGCGTGTGTGTGTGTGTGGAGTAAGGAAACTTGCCTAAGGTTTTGCCCCCTTGCTCAGGAATCAAACCCAGGTCCTCTTGTTAGTGAGGTGAGTGCTCTAACCACTGAGCTACAGGACTCCACAGGTTCTCCTCCAACCCCCTCCCCGTGCCTCTCTGGGGAATAACTCCACAAGTACCTTTCAGCAGGCCAATGGCAGCTTCGTGGGACAGGCTGAAGGTGTCGAGGGAGCGGGCGATCTCCAGCAGTCCCTCAAAGTGCTGGGTCATGTGGTCTCGGCAGGACGAGCAGATACTCTGGATGGCTTTGGCCGAGGCTGAGGCCAGAACCTTCTCCCGAAGCCCCTTCATCAGGTAATGCAGCACCGGGTCTGCACATGACACACGGGCAGCACGTGATAATACAGCAGTCACAGTGTGTGCGAGACAGTGACACAGAGAGAGAGAGGAGAGAGAGATGGCAAGCGTGAGAGAGAGACAGTGAGTGAGAGAAAGATAGTGAGTGAGAGAGAGATAGTGAGTGAGAGAGAGATGGTGAGAGTGAGAGAGAGCGAGAGAGAGTGAGTGAGAGAGAGCGAGAGAGTGAGAGAGAGCGATAGAGTGATGGTGAGAGATAGCGAGAGAGAGATGGTGAGAGAGATAGCCAGAGAGCTCGAGTGCTCTGAGATGTCGTTGCTCGCGGACCTTACCTAAGAACCTGGGGTTCCTGTCGACCACCTCGTTGAGTTCCCCCACCAGCTCGATGCTGGTGTAACGCACGGCCAGGTTCACATTGTCTGGGAGCTGCACCACAGCCTCCAGCACCTCAGCCAGGGTGGGGTTATTGTCACTGCGGGGGGGGGGGGGGGGTACAGACACAGAGTGAGCCTCTCTCTCTGACCCCCCCGCCAATGCCACCCCCACCACCGGCGAAGGGGGAAGGGCGCAAGAGAACTGGCATTTTTATGGCACTTTTTCACATCAAAATGTTTCAAAGGGCTTCACAGAAATTACCGACTGTAGTGACTGTGTGTTATGTAGGTCAACGCGACATGTGCGTACAGCAGTGTCCGCCTGCGCACAGGTATAAAGTGAGTGATTTTATCTGTAATAATAATCCTGGCATTTGATACAGCGCCTTATCACGTCTTCGAGGCGTCTCAAAGCGCTTCACAGAATGTACTGTAAAGTGTAGTGACTGTGTATTTTGTGGGTGAAACACTGCAGCCAATTGTGCACAGCAGCGTCCCCACAAACAGTCGTATGGGGTGGGGGGGGGGGGGGGGGGGCTGGACCATGTAAGCGACCCCTTCGGCTGTGTGTGTGTGAGGGGGGGAGGGAGGGAGTTGGGGGATGGGGGAGAGAGACATTACTTACGGATCCACGCTCTTCGCTATGGCGGCCATGATAAACAGCACGGCCTCTGTGACCTCCCACGATGGGCCGCTGTCTTTCAGGGTGGAGTAGAGCTGGGAAGAGGAGACGGCCATCAGTGTTCCCGTGTTTCAAACCAGGAAAACAACAACTTGCATTTACAGTGCACCCCTCACTCAGGGGAGCCTCCCCCGAGCACTTAACCAGATCACAGCAAGGTCCCAAGAGAGTACTTATTTTAAAGACACATCACAGGCACTGAAAAGTGCTGTAACAGGAAAACTGTGGCAAACAACAGCACCCGCAGGCTGGGCCGAACGGCCTGTTTACCTTCTGTGTTGCACAGTAATAATAATAATAATAATCCTTGCATTTGATATAGCGCTTTTCACGTCGGGAGGACGTCCCAAAGCGCTTCACAGAACACACTGTAAAGTGAATTGACTGTATATTTGTGGGCGAACGCGGCAGCCAATTGCGCACAGCAATGTCCCACAGACAGTCGTAGATTGAAAATGACCAATTTATTATTGTTTTTGGTTTTGGAGGTTTATTATTAGGCTCTGTGTGGAGTAAGGAAACTTGCCCGAGGTTTCGCCCTCTGCCTGGAATTGAACTCAGGTCTCTCACTTGCAAAGCGAGTGCTCTAACCACTGAGCTACAGGGACTCCACGAAAGTGAATTAATAATAATAATAGTAATAATAATATTATTATTGTTGTAAAGTGAATTGACTGTATATTTTGTGGGTGAAACACGGCAGCCAATTGCACACAGGAGCGTCCCCACAAACAGTCGTGGATTGAGTGACCATTTTTTTTCTGGAGGGATTATTACCCACGGAAAGTGATCCACCAATCGACGAACAACCAGGTTCCTACTTACTACTGGGTGAACAGAGGCGTGGGGAGTAAGGAAACTTGCCGAAGGTTTTGCCCTGCCCGGGAATCAAGGCCATGTCTCTCGCTTGCGAGGCGAGGGCTCTAACCGCTGAGTTACAGACCATGAACACATTAAACTTCCCGGTTTAAAATCCCGTTACAAGTTCCCAAATCTGTCGGCCTTATTTTTTCCAATTTTCTCCAAATTGAGGAGGATGAGTTCCCAGGTGAAAAGATTATTATTATTTTAAATTGTTCCGAGGCAGGTCTCCAGACTGGGGTAGAGTGACACCAGACCCTGTTAAACACACACGGCACCTCACTGGGGTTCCCGGGCTGGGGGGCGGTGGGGGTTAGGGTTGGGGGGGGGGGGGAGGAAGCAGATACCTGTGTAAAACACTCCATGGATCCCACCAGGAAAATCACGTCCTTTACCAGGTCCGACACCCTCATCCGGAACTCCCCAAAGTCATCCGAGTCCTCCGGGATTCCTTCCTGTGGGAGGGAGGTCATAACCTTTACACTAACACCAGCCTTAACCCCACACTGCCCTCACCACCACCTCAACCTTCTGCGTGTACACAGCGACCTGCGCGCGGGGCAGCCTCTCGGAGCGCTTGAGTTGCGATGTTCCAGCCCGTTGCTGGGGGAACGCTGTGATTGTCAGGACACAGGAACTGATGGGAGTTTCTCTCAGCCATTTTCACACAGCGATGTCCCCACAAACAGCCATGGAGCGAGGGACCAACAGCATCTGGAGGATTGTCAGCCAGGACACTGAGAGAGAGAGAGACTCCCTTCTCTTTTCCGACAGCGCTTTTCAACAGGATCTTTAACGTCCACCTGAACAGGGCACAGACAGGGAGTGAGGTTTACTGTCTCATCTGAAGGACGGCGTCTCTGACAATACAGCGCACCCCAGCACTGCAGCAGAGCAGGTGGTGTGTGTCAGAGACTCACGTGGTCTGGCTCGAGCTGGCAGTGTCTGGCCAGTGCGTGCAGCAGCCGCTGGATGTAGGGACGGAAGACGGCGTGACGGGAGGGGTCGCTCATCTTGTACAGGTGCTCGCCCAGCCGGTACCAGAAGTTAAAGCTGATCTCGGCCACCTGGGGAGAGAGGAATAATAATATTACACTAATAATACATCATAATCCTTACATTTGATTTCAGCGCTTTGGGAGGTCATCCGGACTTGAAAGGCGCTCTATAATGTCATTTTGTTGTTGTTGTTGATACAGTGCCTTATCACGCCTTCCAGACGCCTCAAAGCACTTCACAGAATATAATGTAAAGTGTAATTGTATATTTTGTGGGCGAAACATGGCAGCCAATTGCGCACAGCAGCGTCCCACAAACAGTCCACATTTTTTTCTTTCACTTCCTTTTTTTTGGAAGAATTATTTCCCCCGGAAAGCGATCCAACAGTCGACTAACAACCAGGTTCCTACTTACTGCCGGTAAACAGAGGCGTGGAGTAAGGAAACTTGCCTAAGGTTTTGCCCTGGCCGGGAACCGAACCCAGGTCCTCTCGCTTGCGAGGAGAGTGCTCTAACCACTGAGCTACAGGACTCCACATGTAAGGAATGGTGGAGACTGGTGTGGAGTATAAACAATGTATTGGATGGACCAGTTGTGTTGTGGGACTTGTTTCCGTGCTGTACACTCTATGAATAATAATAGTCCTTGCATTTGATACAGTGCCTTTTATCACTGAGACGTCTCAAAGCATAGACTGTAAAGTGAATTGACTGTATATTTTGTGGGTGAAAGGCGGCAGCCAATTGCGCACAGCAGCGTCCCACAACAGCTGTGGGTTGAGTGATTATTATTATTATTTCACCGCTGTGTGCAATTGGCTGTCGTGTTTCACTCACAAAACATCATAGTCAGTGGGCTCTCTCTCTCTCTCTCTCTCTCTGCGCTGTGAGCATCCTCGCCACTCGGGCTCCTACCTCGTACTGCGGGTGTCCCACACAGATCAGCAGCAGCTCAAGTGTCCGCAGATCTCCCAGACCTTGCCCTGGGGTCTGCACGATCATCTCCAAGAAGGTCTCGCACAGCTCCGTAAATATCCGGCAGTAATTCAGGATCCTGGCACAGGAGGGGAATAGGGAGGAAAGGAGTTTACTGTATGTGGGAATATAATAATAATCCTGGCATTTGATATAACGCCTTATTACTATATCAGGAAGTCTGGCCTCATTATACAAGGCAGTGGGGGGTCAGGGGAAGCAGTTCCACACTACGACATCAACAACCTATGATTACACAGTGGACAACTTCACAGGATATACTGTAAAGTGTAGTGACTGTGTATTTTGTGGGCAGAACGCGGCAGCTTTTTTAGACCAATCGCCTAACAAGCGGGTTCCTACTGACTGCGAGATAAACAGAAACGTGTGTGTGTATGTGCGTGTGCATGGAGTAAGGAAACTTGCCTAAGGTTTCATCCCGGGGGGGGGGTGTGTGAGAGGGATGGGAGAAGAGCTATTTGTGGTGCGCGATTGTGAAGACAACAACTTTTATACAGTGCCCCTCGCGCTGTGTAGCACCACCCACCCACCCACCCCCTCGCTCACTTGTCCAGGTCCTCGCGAGCCACTGCCATGTGATACGCGGACTCCAGTGTGAGCACACCCTGAAAGAGGTGCAGAGCCAGGGGCAGGGTGGACTCCACGTTCTCGATGGCGTACAGCGCTGAGCAGATACAGTCACACGCTGCCTCGTGCAGGTTGGTTGAGGTATTGTCACGTTGCTGAGACACAGGGAGGGAGGGAAGGAGAGAGAATTAAACCACTGGTGCAGCTGGGAAACAACCCCCCCCCCCCTCTGCCCCCCAAACCACTTTGGGGGGGGAGGAGGTGCGGGGCGTGGGGGGAGGGAAGAAACACCTTGTTCTGCTTACAAACAATGAGGTACAGGACTGCACATGAGCTGCTACAACTGGGAACCATTTCCCCCCTTTCTCGGATATCAAAGCCCGACCTGCCATCAAAGCCCCCCCCATCCCATCACTCAGCTATCCCTCGCTCACCTGGAAGCCCCCCCACCCCACCAACAATCTCCCTCGGAACCCCCCACTCTGCCTCACCCTGAGAGCCATCCCTCGCCTGCCCTGGAGACTCCCCCCTTCCCCAGCCCCAATCGCCCCCAGAACTCTTCCCAAAACCTTTCGCCCTCGGAACCCCCGGCCCCTGATCGCCCCTTGGAGCACACCCTCCCCACCATCGCCCTTGGAGGCCCCTCCATCATCCACCCTGTAGCCCACCCCCTCGTTCACTCGCTCTTGGAGCCCCCCACACCCCACCCACAGCCACCTCACCCACCACACACACTGACTGACCAGAGCCTGGAAAAGGTTGAGCAGCAGGCGGTTGTTGGCCATGAAGCTGCTGTCCAGGACACCGAGGTTGAACCAGCTCCCCAGGCAGCGGAAAACTCTGATCAGGGTCTTCTCCTCACTCCCCGCTTGCTCTGCACAGGCGGTCTGAGGATAGAGAGAGAGAGCGAGAGAGAGACCCCCACTAGCATAGGGCAGCATGGCAGCACGTCACAGCCCCCTGCCTCCCTACTACACTTTACAGTATATTCCGTGAAGTGCCTTGAGACGTCTCAACCACATGATGAGGCGCTGCATCAAATGCAAGGATTACTTTTACTGTAACACAACCCCAGAGCCTTCTTTATAAAATAGTGATCCTCGCATCTGATATGGCACCTGATCACGTCTTCGAGACGTCTCAAAGTGCTTCACAGGATACACTGTAAAGTGGAGTGACTGTATTTTGTAGGTGAAACGTGGCAGCCAATTGCACACAGAGTGTCCCACAGACAGTCAGGTTGTGAGGATGTGTACATCACGTGTGTTGTGACAGTATGTAGATCACGTGTGCTGTGACGTTTGTAGATCACGTATGTTGTGACGGTGGATAGATCACGTGTTCTGTGACAGTGTGTAGATCACGTGTGCTGTGACAGTGTGTAGATCACGTGTGCTGTGACAGTGTGTAGATCACGTGTGCTGTGACAGTGTGTAGATCACGTGTGCTGTGACAGTGTGTACATCACGTGTATTATGATGGTGTGCACATCATGCGTGTTCCCCGGTTACACGTACAAGCAGTGAGACGACGGTGCTGGAGGAGTAGGCCAGGTCCTCGATGATCTCAGTGCGACGATTGGCTCCGATGCGGAGCGAGCGGCTGTGGACCTCCTCGGGCAACACCGTCAGGATCTCCAACAGGAAGCACAGCGAGGCTGGGTCATTACCATATCTGGGGAGAGGGAGGGGGGGGAGGGAGTGTGGGGGTGAAAGAGGGGGTGGAGAGGGGGGGGAGAGAGAGAGGGAGGGTGACAGAGTGGGGGGAGAGTGGGGGGGGGGGTGGGGAGAGTGGGGGAGGAGAGAGGTGGGTGGGGGAAGAGAGAGGTTAGTCACTTTGCTCCGCTGCACAACTTCCTCAGCCCCAAAGTCAAGCAAACAACAACAACTTGCATGTATATAGCCCCCACACACACACAGGAGAGTGTCCCAGAGCTTCCCAAACAGCTCCCCTCCCTATACATTCAATCCTTCTCACACTCAATGTCTGACTCCAAATTCCTCGCCCACCTCTGTGGAAGCCACTTACAGAGCAGGGACACCCCCTCCCTCCCTCTCTCCCGAGTGTACAAACCACGTCAAGTGAAGGGACACGCACTTTTCAATTAGCATCTGGACACATCCCTTCCACGAGGCCATTTGCAGAGCCAGATCAGCGATAGCCAGAGCCAGCTACAGGGGAGGAAGCACAGAATGTCACACACTGCAAACCAGCTCCAGCTCTCGAACCTCTCCGCTCAACCCCCCACCCCCTTCCCCCACACAATGGGGATTGAGGGGAGATGAGAAATTATATTATCATGTCGTTGGGACGTCTCAAAGCGATTCACAGGATTTTACTGTAAAGTGTAGTGACTGTGTGTTTTTGGAGACGGACGCGGCAGCCAATTTATCCACAGCAACTTCCCCACAGTCATAAAAGTGAACAACTGATTGTATCTGAGGGATTGTTAGGCAGGACACCGAGAGAGAGAGAGAGAGAGAGAGAGAGAGGGAAAGAGAAAGAGAGAGGGAAAGAGAGAGAGAGAGAGAAAAACTCCCTTTTCTTTTACAGCAGTGCCACGGGATCTTTAACGTCGACCTGAACAGGTAAACGGGACCACAGTTTGAACGTCTAATCCGAAGGAAGGAAGGTGTAGTGACTGGGTGTTTTTTTTGTATTGGTGAACGCTCAGCTGAGTGCGGGCAGATTTGAGAGGGATGTGGGGAAAGAGGGAAGTAGGAACTTTACTGCAATTCGCAGACGCCCCCTGATTTTGGAGGTAATTTTTAAATGGAAATAAATCCGTGTTTCAGATCTGATCGAACGCAAGGGAGAAGGGAATAGAGAGAGGGGAGTACGGCAGTGAGCAGTATAAAGACCGGCACAGACTGGTGGGGCTGTGTTTCTGGGGTGCCGCTGTGTAAGGTGGGCAGACGGATGGGGTGAAGCACTGACCTGTGTGACGATGACAGGGGAGATGTCCTTGAGGTTCTGGATGTGTGTGAGCAGTGAGTCACGGAGTGCCAGGTGGGTTTCAGGGGGAAGCTCGTTGAACGAGGTCTGTATCTTCATCTTCATGGTCTGAGCCGCAAAGTAACACAGCTCCACCTCCTGCTGCATCTGTAACAGTTGGTCTGAGATCTCCCAGGCGTACATCTGCAACCATCATCATCATCACCACCATCATCAATAATCCTTGCATTTGATACAGCGCATATCACGTCTTCAAGATGTCTCAAAGCGCTTCACACAATATACTGTAAAGTGAATTGTCTATATTTTGTGGGTGAAACACTTTTGTCATCGTCATAATAACAGACAGACAGACAGACAGACAGACAGACAGACAGACAGACAGACAGACAGACAGACAGACAGACAGACAGACAGACAGACAGACAGACAGACATGCACGCACACACACACACAGAACTGGGGACAGAGAAGAAATATAAAGACATCTCAATTTTCTCTACAGTAAAAAAACAGTGAATTATTTCCCAGTGTTGGGCTGCAGTTTCACCGTTGCTTCCTGTCATCCTCTCAAAGGTGCAAAACTTCATTAAAAAGGTGTCAGGCAGCAAAAGCTCAGCTCGTCAGAGAAACAAAATACCAGCATCAAAGAAGATCCGTGAGTCCCTGCGCTACAACACACGACATTTACACAGTGGCTTTCACGTCAAGAGGACGTCCCAAGGCCCTGCACACTCAGGGAAAATGGGGGTTGGGATCAAGAGGGGTGGAGGGCAGGGAGGGTAGGGGTAGGAGGGTGGACAGAGGCACGATCGAAGACGAGAGTCTTGGGCCAGGCCTTGAAGGAGGCGAGGGAGGGAGCGAGGCGAAGGGACTGTGGGATGTAGTTCCAAAGGGTGGGGGCAGAGAGTTTGAAGGCCTGACCGATGATGGTGGAATGGGGTGGGCCGGGCTGGGGACCTGGAACAGGCCGGAGCCCGCTGAGCGCACAGATCTCTATGGAATTCATCCCACAATTGTAGAATAAAGTAAATAGAACTGAAGGAAAGAGAGAATGAGTGAAAGAGAGAGAGGGGGAAGAGTGTGAGAGAGAACAACTTTCATTTTTATAGTGCCCCTCGCGCAGTGTTGCAGGGTTTCGGGGCGTGGTGGCTGAAGGCACGGTCACCGATGGCGGAGCGGAGGGGACGAGGGACAAGCAGGAGGCCGGAGCCAGTCGAGCGGAGGCAGCGGGTGGTGGAGTGGGGGGTAAGCAGGCCGGAGAGGTAGGGAGGTGCCAGGGCGTGAAGGGATCTGAAGACGAGTGAGAGATTGAGAATCTCTCTCTCCTTCGCCCTCAAAATACAAACAAGTATTAATTTTGTGACAGTGACAATCAGGAACGCCAGTTAATCGCCAACAACCTGCCTGTGCAGCGATGACTCATAAAGCCACAGAGACAGGTTATTGTAACAACTGATCAGACAGCAGGAAAGCAGATAACAGCCCACACCTAAAGCAAACACTGTGAACAGAAGATCCTTCTGGTGCCAACCCTTCACCCCTCACACAGAAACCTGACCACTTCCTGGGCAAATCAGGCCCAGTCTGTTCCCTGTTCAGGCGGACACTAAAGATCTTGCGGTGCTGTTGGAAAAGAGAAGGGAGTTTCCTTCCACATGTATGCAGATGACACCCAACTCTCCCTCTCTGCCCCCCCCCCCCCGACTCCAGGACCCACTGCTGTCCTGACAGAATGTCTGTGTCAGACGTCAAGTCCTGGAGGAGAGCCAACTTCCTTCAGTTGAACGTCAACAAGACCGAGGCTCCTGATTGGCTCCCGTCAGTGCGTCCTCACCTCAGGCTGACAGATCACCATCCATGGGGCTCACTCCCTCTCACTGAGCCAGTCCCGACTTGGGACCTTGGGGTCTTGTTTGACCCTCAACTATCCTTTCTACCCCACATCTGTGCCATGACCCGCTCTGCCTTCCCCCACCCCGTCCTCGCCCGACCCCACTGTCCCCCCATCACACAGAGGATTCAGTTCAAGATCCTGGTCCTCACCTTCAAAGCCCTCCATGGTCTCGCTCCCCCTTACCATGTCGCCCGCCTCGCTTGTACCACTATTGGTGGGCGGGCCATCCGCCACTCTGCCCTCACCCTCTGAAACTCCATCCCGCAGTCCCTCTGCCTCGCCCCCTCCCTCGCCTCTTTCAAGACCCACCTCAAGACCCTCCTCTTCGACCGTACTTTCGATCTCCCTGCTTCCCCCCCTTGCCCTCCCCCCTCCCCCACCCAGACCTCAGCTCGGGTCCGTAACTCTGCCTGTCCAGGGCCTCGGGATGTCCTCCCGATGTGAAAGGCGTCATTTTGTTGTTGTTGTTCTTGCTCTCCCCCGGTGTCCTGGCTGACAATCCCCCAGATACAATCACTCATTCGGTCACCTCACGGCTGTCTACTGTGCACAAATCAGCTGTAGCCTTCACCCCACAAAACACGACAGTCACTACACTTTACAGTGAATCCCTGTGAAGATTTTTGAGATGTTTTGACGAGGCGATAAGGCACTGGGTCACATACGGGGATCATTATTTATAAATTACGAGCATCATAAATGGCTCCGGCACGTAGCCGGGCGACATCAAAACAAGACAAGCTCAGAGGACATTGCTCAGCCACTAACCGGCCGGGGCTGGGGGTTTCACCATTGCCAAATCTGTGGGGAAATCAAAAAGAATTTGAAACCTCTTTCTTCCATTCTCCCCACCACCCCCACCTTCTCCAAATCAGGGCTCTGGCACTGGGGGGTGGGTGGGGGGGGGGGGGGGGGTGATGGATCCCAGCTTTAGTGGCGTAAAGGGCATTACTCACGTTACAGTCAGGACATTGAAGAGAATTCAACAGCTTGTGTTTATGCACAGCCAGTGTGTCACGTGGGGTGGTGTCCCAGAGGGGATTGAATTTCCACCCCCAACCCCCCATCCCCCCCACCCCCCACGCACACTCTCCGAGAGTCACACACACACACTCACAGCCAGAGAGAGACACACACACTTCCCCTCACACACAGAGACAGAGAGACACACACACACTTCTCCTCACACACAGAGACAAACACCCTCACACACGTTAATCCCCCCCACCCCCACACACACAGACAGACACATTTAACCCCTCACACACACACACCACCCACCCCCCAAGGGCAATGACCCTGGGGAGTCTCTCTGTTTTCTTCCTGGTTTTAATTCATTACAAAATATTTAAAATATTTAAAAATCTGATTTTTTTAAAAAAAATACGTAAACACAGAAATAGAGCAGCAGATTCCAGCCCTGGACACTGACCCTCACACACTCCCCCCACCCCCCACACATCCAGACAAACACAGAGAGTCACACCCTCACACGCCCACACACATTCTTCCCACCTCTCACACACACACCCACAGGAGACGAACACCCTCACAAATCCCCACAAATTCCCCCTACCCCTCACTCACACATACCCACAAACACCCTCACACACTCTCCCCTCCCCTAACACACACACACACAGACAAAACACCCTCACACACTCTCCCCTCCCCTAACACACACATAGACAAACACCCTCACACACTCTCCCCTCCCCTAACACACACACACACAGACAAACACCCTCACACACTCTCCCCTCCCCTAACACACACATAGACAAACACCCTCACACACTCTCCCCTCCCCTAACACACACATAGACAAACACCCTCACACACTCTCCCCTCCCCTAACACACACACACACAGACAAACACCCTCACACACTCTCCCCTCCCCTAACCAACACAGAGACAAACACCCTCACACACTCTCCCCTCCCCTAACACACACATAGACAAACACCCTCACACACTCTCCCCTCCCCTAACACACACATAGACAAACACCCTCACACACTCTCCCCTCCCCTAACACACACACACACAGACAAACACCCTCACACACTCTCCCCTCCCCTAACACACACACACAGAGACAAACACCCTCACACACTCTCCCCTCCCCTAACACACACAGAGAGACAAACACCCTCACACACTCTCCCCTCCCCTAACACACACACAGAGACAAACACCCTCACACACTCTCCCCTCCCCTAACACACACACAGAGACAAACACCCTCACACACTCTCCCCTCCCCTAACACACACACACACAGACAAACACCCTCACACACTCTCCCCTCCCCTAACACACACAGAGACAAACACCCTCACACACTCTCCCCTCCCCTAACACACACACACACACAGACAAACACCCTCACACACTCTCCCCTCCCCTAACACACACACACACAACCCCCCTCACAGATACCCTCACACACTCTCCCCACCCCTCACACACAACCCCCTCACAGATACCCTCACACACTCTCCCCACCCCTCACACACACACACACACACAACCCCCCTCACAGATACCCTCACACACTCTCCCCACCCCTCACACACACACACACACACACCCCCACAGACACAAACCCGCCTGACAGTTACCCCCCTCGGTCCTTTCTCTCTCTCTCACACACACACACACACGCACAGAGAGAGAGAGAGAGAGAGACACATACAGTGACACAGACCCTCACACACTCCCCCTCCCCCCGCGGGTGAGGGCCGCGGCTGAAGCCTGGGCCTGGGGTGGGTGGGTGGGTGAGTGGGTGGGTGGGCCCCCGCCCCTCCCCCCGCGGCCCTCCCCCCGCGGCCCTCACCGATCTCTGGAACTCCCCGAGCCAGAGCGACGCGCGCTCCTTTCCCGCGGGGTCGGGGTCGTGGTACAGCGCCTTCACCGCCTGGTAAACGACCGGCAGCGAGGGCCGCGCCGCCGCCATGTCCCCTCCTCACCGCGGCGCCGCCATGCACCGGAAGCCAGGGCCGAGGGGAGCGGAGAGGCGGTGACACCCGCCGCCCGCCGCCGCGCCCACTCCCCCCCGGAGCGCACAACTCCCCGCACAAAGGTTCCGGGGCCGAGGGGGGGAACACCTCCCAAACTGGTCCCACCTTTAATATCTGCCTGAGACCCCCTTCCCCCCCCACACACAGGTTGGGGGGTGGGGGGAGTGGGGGGTGGGAGTGTGGGGGGTGTGGAGTGGGGGTGTGGGGGGAGTGGGGGGGGGGGGGGAGTGGGGAGGAGTGGGGAGTGGGGGGGGAGGGGGTTTGGGGGGAGTGTGGGGGGAGTGGGGGTGTGTGGGGAAGGGGGGAGTGGGGGTGTGTGGGGGAGTGGGTGTGTGGGGGTGTGGGGGGAGGGGTGTGGGAGTGTGGGGGGTGTGGAGTGGGGTGGGGGGAGGAGTGTGGGGGAGGGAGTGTGGGGGGAGGGGGTGTGGAGTGGGGGTGTGGGGGAGTGTAGTTTTGGGGTATTTTGATTAGATAAATAATACTCATTATTAATAATTATTAATAAAGGTCATCAATAATAATAATGGCTCATTATTTACCGGTGGAAGCGCTTTGAGGCGTCTCGACAGCATAATAAGCTGCTGCATCAAATGGCACCGATTGTTATCATTATAATAATAATAATAATAATACACCAATAGCAACAGTTTGTGTTTATAGAGAACCTTTCACGCGGCGCAGAGTCTCAATAATAATAACAGTGATAACGATGCAGTTCAAGCTCTCTGAGACGCTGCCCGGCATGAAGGGCACCAGATACACATGCAAGTTGTTGTTGTTGACATTGTAATGTCTAAATGCACCTCCCAGGGAACCAGCATCTAGTGTAGTGACTGTCTGGTGGTGATAAGGCGCTGTATCAAATGCAGGATTATTATTATTTTAAAATCCTGACCTGGGAGTGTGGACACACAGTGTAGAGGAGCGTTACTGTGTCTCTAACCCTGACCTGGGAGTGTGGACACACAGTGTAGAGGAGCGTTACTGTGTCTGTATCACCCACAAAATACACAGTCACTACACTTTACAGTGTAAGTGAAGCGCTTTGAGGCGTCCCAATGAAGTGATAAGGTGCTATGTCAAATGCAAGGATTATTATTATTATTACTACGTCAAAACAATACACAGCACATACTGTACAGAGTGTAGTGACTGTGTGTTTGACGGTGAATTATAATGGAATTTTTCCCCCCAAACGCCCACAATGTACTGTGTAATAATAATCCCGGCATTTGATACAGCGCCTTATCACGTTTTCGAGGCATCTCAAAGCGCTTCACAGAATAGACTGTAAAGTGAATTGACTGTATTTTGTGGGCGAAACGCGGCAGCCGATTACACACAACAGTTGTGGATTGAGCGATGGTGTTGTGTGTGTGTGTGTGTGTGCGAGAGTTTGAGTTCCCATCTGAACTCTTTGTCTACTTCAAAGGCTGTGAGTTGGGAGCGGGAGCGAGGGAGGGAATAGAGACGGGAGGGAGGGAGCGAGGGAGGGAGGGAGGGAGGGAGCGAGGGAGGGGTCTCTGTGTGTAACCTGAGACCAGTAGCCTGTGAGCTCTGAGGCTGAGGCTGTGGAGACGTGGCGGTGGGAGAGAGAAGACAAACATTTGGCTGCGTACAATAGGGAGGGAGGGAAGGAGGGAGGGAGAGCAGGAGACAGGCTCGTTGGTCTAGGGGTATGATTCTCGCTTTGGGAGCTTCACTGTAAACTTGCGAGAGGTCCCGGGTTCAAATCCCGGACGAGCCCGGCTTTTGTTGTTTTGTGTCGCCACAGAGAAATAAAACAATACGTTTTAAACCCACAACAACAACAACAAATTGCATTTATACAGCGCCCTCCAATCCTGGGCAGCGTCTCAGAGCACTTAACAATGGTGGAGCCCGAGTCAGGGGGAGGGGGAGGTGACCGTAGTCGCGGTCGATGAGGAAGGTCTTCAGGTGTGACCTGCAGATGGGGAAGGAAGGGACGAGGCCAAGGGGTTGAGGGACAAAGTTTTGGGGTGTTGTGGCTGAAGGCACGGCCGCCGATGGTGGAGCGGAGGATTCGGGGGACGCGGAGGACACCGGACCCAGTAGAGCCGAGGCAGCGGGTACTGCTGTGGGGAGAGAGGTTAACAACAACAACAATATGATGTGTATAGCTGTGTGCTGTGTTTTACCTGCTGGGATGGTCTTACCAACATGTGTGGAGTCCTGTAGTGTAGAGGTCAGAGCCTCACCTCACAATGAGAGGACCTGAGTTTGATTTCCGGGCAGGTCGGAGGCGAAACCTTTGGCAACACGAACAACTTACATATGTCTAGCGCTTTCACGTCAGGAGAACGTCCCGAGGAGCTGGATAGATTAGGGATATGCACTCAAGCTGGGGGTTGGGATCAGGAGTTGTGGAGGGCAAGGACCGTGGGGATAGAAGGATGACTGAACGCATGGTCAAAGATGAGGGTCTTGAAGGAGGCAAGCGAGGGGGCGAGGTGGAGGGACTGCGGGATGGAGTTCCAGAAGGGTTGGGGGCCGAGTGGCAGAAGGCCCGCCCGCCAAGAGTGGGGCAAGCGAGGCGGGGGACATGAATAAGCCCGGAGCCCGCTGAGCGGAGGGAGTGAGCAGGATGGTAGGGGGTTAGGAGGTCGGAGAGATTGGGGGGAGCAAGACCATGGAGGGCTTTGAAGGTGAGGACCAGGATCTTGAACTGTATCCTCTGTGTGATGGGAAGCCAGTGGGGTCGGGCGAAGATGGGGGTAATGGGGGTCACGGAGCCTGGTGCGGGAGAGGACACGGGCTGCAGAGTTCTGGATGACCTGCAGCCTGTGGAGGGAGGAGTTGGAGTTTGTGTATTCGAGTCTGGATGCGATGAACGCATGAATGAGGGTCTCGGTGGGCTGCGGTGTGAGACAGTGGTGGAGCAAGTTTCCTTACTCCACACGCCTCTGTTTACGCAGCAGTAACTAGTAACCTGGTTAGTCGATTGGCGGATCGCTTTTTTGAGAGTAACAATCCCTCCAAAAAAAAAAATGTGATTACTCGATCCTCGACTCTTTGTGAGACGCTGCTGTGTGTAATTGGCTGCTGTGTTTCACCCACAAAGTATACAGTCACTACACTCTACAGTATATTCCGTGAAGCGCTTTGAGACGTCTCGAAGACGTGATAAGGCGCTGTATCAAATGCCAGGATTATTATCATTATTTATTATTGATAAGGAAGGGAGGTGAAGAGGGAGAGGGGGATGGAGGGAGGGAGGGGACACTTGGGTTGGAGAGAGGGAGGAGTGTGTGTGTGTGTAACCTGAGACCAGCAGTCTGTGAGCTCTGAGGCTGAAGCTGTGGAGACGTGGCGGTGGGAGAGAGAAGATAAACATCTGGCTGAGGGAGGGAGGGAGGGAGAGAGAGAGAGAGAGGAGACAGGCTCGTTGGTCTAGGGGTATGATTCTCGCTTAGGGAGTTTCCCCCCGAAAATGCGAGAGGTCCCGGGTTCAAATCCCGGACGAGCCCTGCTTTTAATTTTTTCTTCCTGAATAAACCTGGTCGTTCAGCCTTCCCTTTTGGTGTAAAACTCTGTCCCAGAAGGTCTCAGCTTCCAGTTACAGCCCTGGTCAGTAACATAAATAAATATCTCAATTATTAATGGCAACCAGGACACCAGGAAAGACTCCTTGGTCTTTTCCAACTTGATCTTTAACGTTCACCTGAACAGGTCACAGACAGGACTTAGGTTTAAGTCTGAGCTGAATGACAACGCGAGCTCTCTCCCCCCAGCACCGCACTGGAGCGTTAGCCCCCAATGTGACCTGTAACCCCAGAGCCCCCGACCTCGCACTGCTCCCCTCCCCTCTTTCACATGAAATATTCTGGGCAATGAACAGATTCTCGGAAACCTCTCATCCCACTCTCCTGCCTGGATATCACCCAGGAATTGTGGGGTCCTGGAGCTCATTAGCTCAAGTTTAGTTGATTGGCGGATCACTTTCCAGGGTAATAATCCCTCCAAATACAAATTTGGTCACTCAATCCACGACTGTTTGTGGGACACTGCTGTGCGCAATTGGCTGCTGCGTATCCTGTGAAGCGAACCTTTGAGACATCTCAACAACGTGATAAGGCGCTATTTCAAATGCAAGGATTATTATATTTTCCTTAAAAAAAAATTTTATTTAGCCTTGAAAATCAGTTAAAAGGACTTTAATGGTTCCTCTTTGGTGTACCACAGGCATGTCAGTCTACAATATAGTCACTCCACTTTTACAGCAAATCATGTGAAGCGCTTTGAGACGTCTCAATGACATTATAAGGCGCTGTATCAAACTCAAGGATAATTATTATTCTGATCCTGTGAAACGCTTAGAAATGTCCTCTCGGTGTGAAAGGCGCTGTGTCAAATGTAAGGACTGTTATCACTCAAAGCACCAATACAATCCGACCACTAACAAAGGACAGATAAACACGGTGAGAGATTCTTTTTTAAAAAAATTTATTAAGAGTATTTGGAATCAAAGTTGAAGTGGTCACATGATAACACGTCACATAGTTAAGACTGGTTATCGATCTGTAGTGTTCAGAGATTGGAAAGTTGTGTGATTTACTGACTGACGCCTCATGTTCACGTGAGGCTGGACTCAGAGGGTCTCGCACACAAGGAAACAATGCTGGAACTGGTTAGCAAGGCCACTACACACACACACACACACACCGACGCTGACTGACACCTGCCCCCACAGGATGGTCTCGAATGAGCCGAACAGTCCCGTGACCATCACAAAGTGAGCTCGCTCCCTCCCAACACTCACATCATGTAGTAAAACATGGGATCGTGAACTCACACCGTGATATGCGCCCCCCCCCCTCTCTTCCTAAACATAGACACTCAAACTAGCTCAGGTCCTCCTGTGCATTGTGTGTGTGTGTGTGTGTGACTGAGCAGTACTGTGGGTGGGTGGGGGGCTGCACTGTCGGAGGTGCAGTCCTTCAGATAAACATTGAACCAAGCTCCTGTTTGCCTGTTCTGGTGGACGTTACAGATCCCAGACCAGAAAAGGGGTCATTCAGTCCTTTTAGTGTGTTCCATGTCCCTGTTGCTGACATTCACACACAGGGACCAGCTGAGACCCTCCCTCAATTCCCCCTCCACCCACACAGGGACCAGCTCAGACGCCCCATTCCCCCTCCGGACATTGCCACACTCTTTGGCCTGAATCACCAACTGTCTCAACCACAAACCCTCGACTGGGAGGGTTAGCAGTGGGCCTGCTCCTCCCTCACCAGCCTTCAACGTACATACGGCAGTGAGCTCCCCTCGTGCGAAACGAGCACGATCACGGCCTCGCTCCAGCACCAGCACAGACACCCTCCCCCATCAGCCCTCACAGGTGTGAAGGGGAAGTGACCATTCCTCAAACACACAGCAACACAAGAGTCTGTTGGTGTTGCCCCTCAGGGTGATTTCTATACTGCGGGTTTCACACCAATCCTTCACACACACAAATCACGTCCTCCACACTAGCCGGGGGGGATGGGGGGAGAAGATAACAGGGAGTTTTTGTTCGTTAGCATTTTATGGTGAGTTTCCTGGACACTCGCTGTGCAATTAACACCTCCCGTTCGCTTCCTCTAACCCTCATCTCAACCGCTCTTCATTCAATATGAACATCAAGCTGTTATCAGAGCTTCCACTGTCTGAACTGACACCCCCGCCCCCAGCTCTCCATTCTATATCACCTTTATAAGTGGATTAGACCCCAGGCTGTAACTCACTCCCAACTGGGCTGGGGTTTCAGGAATGGGTTATTATACTTTTGCAGGGATGGGAGAAACCAGGAATGGCTTCCAGAGGCTTTGGAAAACCTCTTCCACACAGATTACACTGTGTGTGTGTGTGAGAGTGTGAGAGTGTGAGCACGCAGGTGTGCCACTGGATAAATTGCCTCACTCGGCGTGACAAGTTTGAAGTGTCTCTGTATCTAACACTCAGTGACGGGGGAATTGTTCACAAACAGACACAAAGCTCCAACCATTAGTTCACCCTGGTTTAAAATAAAATGTAGTAATACAATTTACTTTTGAGAAACACAGTCGCAAACCTGGTTCAAACGTTTCTTTAATTATATATTTTTTTTAAACCGCCCGGGAGAGTGATCGGCAAAATGCACGTGTGAGACCGAGCTAAGTTTGAGAGCCTGTGGCCAGCAACAGATCAATAGCTGCAGCAGGAAGCGGTGGTGAAGTGGGACTCACTAACCACACAGCAGCACATCGATGTGTGGTGTGAATAACAGACCACACAAACACACACTCTCCCTGGCACCCAGATGACAAGCAGTGGAACCATTTACTCAGCACCTAGAACTCTGACATTAAAAATGACAAATTAAAATGGCAACGAACGCTCTCAATCGCCATATTAATTAAAATGACAGCTCAAACCTCCAACTCTGGGCTCCTCCACAGAGCTCCAGGCATTGCCAACCCCTTCCCCGTGTGTGTGAATGATTCCTTCACCCCCACCCCCCCCACATTTCCTCCCCAAAAGCACTTCAGTCAGTGACAGGTTCCACACCACACAGTGTGTGTTCATACTATCCCTTACACCTAGATTACACATACAAATATAATACTGATTCTTTTTAAGTAGTAACTGGATACAGTGTAAATGTGAAGTTACTTTTATTGTGAATTTATATTAAAATAATCGCTCCACAAATATATTTTTCTCACACGGGCGGGTGAGGGGGGGCAGACGGGGGGAATGTGGGGTTGGTGATGACGGGGAGCGAGTACTGCGGTCTGTCATACAGAGAAACTTGCACAAATTCACAAGTTCACTCCACCTCTCCCCCCCGCCCACCACCACCCCAACTTGACTGCGAGCCACATTAGGTTAGTCTCTGTGAGAGAGATGGTGTGTAGTTTCTTACTGCATAAGCTGTTTTATTTCTGGTCAGTTAGGTGTCTGACATACGCACATCCAGCTTCAGAGCGTCCAAACTCCATGCAGCCCACCCACACGTGGAAATTCCCGTATGCCTGTGTCAGTGTTTAAGGTGTCGCAGGATTGTAGGCGATAAATTCTTAAACAAAGTCTTCATTTGAGACAATAAGTCCTGCAGGAAGAGGTTGAGGCCACAATTCTGCACCACCATAAAGCTTAAAGGCAAAACGGTCTCACAGACTAAGATTGGCAGTGCCTCAGTGAGTTGAGACTGCACCATGTAACAGGCTGTTGGGTGGGGAGCGGGGATTTAATACTGCCTGCTGCTCAGTGGGTCAGCCCCACAGGGAAGGTGCCTGACCCTGTACACAGTACACACCTCCTATTGCGACTCCACCCCTCCCCTTATTGTTCTAGTTACACACAAACCAGGGTTAGTTAGTAAAGCCTAAACAAGACACTTTCAGGATCAAACCATCATTTAGCTGCACAGAGCCTATCAGCCAGTCCGGACACACACGCACACACACTTACACTTACACCCACCCACCGCTCGGGGAGGTTCATTCAGGGATTATCTATGCATTGAATTAGAAACACTTTATCTTGTCGATTGTGTGTTTCGGTGGCTTACAAGAAAGAAACAAGACCTAGACAAATACAAAAATCAAACACACTTGTTTTACAGCTATGTGGCAACTAATCTAAAAGGGGGTAAGTGACACCGCATTCTGCCCCCACCCTCTCCCCCACTCCCACCCCCCAGATGTATCCGTTGCTTGCATGGAGTCTGGGATAACAGTCCCAGGACACAAAACACCTCATGTTGAAGAGAAAGTTGTAAAAAATAAATTAGCCTTTCTTTTTGTGAATTGGTTTCTCTTCTGTTTCTGACCTGCCCGATCTGCTAACCTAAAACTCATCGTGTCTCACTAAGGCCTCGCCGAAGTCGGTGGCCTGGCTGCCCACGAACAGGTCGTACTTGCTGATGATCTCTTCCTTAGACAGCTTGCCATCCTGTAACACACACATAGACACACAGCGTTAGCACAAACCAGCCCCAGCCCCGCACCAGCAAGCAGAGTGTTTTACAGCTATGTGGGAACTAATCTAAAAGCGGGTAAGTGACACTGCATTCTTGGTCTTCTTTCACCAGCAAATTCTTGTGTCCTTATGAGGTAAACGAGAAGGACATGACAGGCCCGACTAGTGACAGTGCTGTGCTGCCCTCACACACCTTGTTCTCATCAGACTCGTACACCAGGTGCCGGGCTTCGGCCTCAGCGTGATCGTAGTCAGCAGGCAGGATCCAGTCCTTGGTCTCCTCCTTGTCCATCTTGCCGTCCTTGTTCTTGTCCCGGAACTCTGTAAACTGCTCCCGCTCAGACTTCACCCAATCCGGCTCGTGGCCTTCACTGTCAGCCGTGTACATGTCACCTGCAATCAGCACACGGAGGTGACGCAGACAGCAGCAACAACGACATTTACACGGTGCCCCTCATGTCAGGAGGACGACCCAAGGCGCTGGAGTCAGGGGTTTGGACCCGAGCTGGGGGATGGGATCAGGAGGGGTGGAGGGCAGGGAGGGTACAGGTAGGAAGGTGAGTGAAGGCGCATTTGGTCGAAGAGAAGGGTCTTGAGACAGGTCAGGGATGGAGTGAGGTGAAGGGACTGTGGGATGGAGTTCCAAAGGGTGGGGCAATGAGGCTGAAGGCCCGACTGCTGATGGTGAGGCGAGAAAGGCAGGGGACATGGAGCAGCCTGCTGAGTGGAGGGAGCGGACATTTTGGTACGCAGTTAGCAGGTCACAGAGGTAGGAAGGTTAGATAAACCCGCTTTCCCCTTGCTCCACAGTGAGACTAAAGTGCGATGTCTCACAGATGGGATTCACTCACCAATGTACTCGTCCAAGTCAATGAAACCATCGCTGTTCTTGTCAATGTCCTCCATTGTCTCCTGTAGAGGAGAGAAACAGGTCATTGCTGGGAGAAGCTTTGACAGGGAGATCAAGACTGGAATTCACCCCAGCCCTGGCACCAACAACAACTTGCATTTATATAGCACGCCTCATGCAGGGTAGTGTCCCAGAGCGCTTAAATAACCACCACACAGAATGCCGAGTGCCTCAGACTCCTCATACCAGCACGTGAAAGGACAGCGGTCCATCAAACCCACTCACAGGAACAGGAGGAGACCATTCAGCCCCTCAAGTCCGTTCCACCATTCTATTAGATCCACCATCGACTAACAAGTGGGCTCCTACTTACCGTTAGGTAAACAGATTCCTGACCAACGCTTTTTTCCCTGTCCGGGAATTGAACCCGGGCCCTCTCGCTTGCGCTAAGCGTTAAAAGCTACAGCTTCACACATTTGCACACCACCCACTGTGGGTAAACTGCCCGTAGCCGAGGCTGGGAGTCACTCACCAGCACCACGATGTTCTTCATGTGATCGTACTCCTCAGGGTGCAGGAAGGCGGTGAACTCCTCCTTTGTGGCCAGTTTGTCCTGGTTTTCGTCGGCCATGTTGAACCGTCTCTCGTCCCGCGCCATCATCTGCTTGTAGTTGTAGCCATCCTCGGGGTCCGGGTCCTCTGATGCCCCCAAACAGAGAAGAGGTGTTAAGGGGGAGAGCAATAAGCCAGTCATCAGTCACCCGCCCCCAAAGACGTTCAGATCCCCACAAACCAACAACAACTTACACAGCGCCCCTCACTCAGGGTAACGTCCCAGAGCGCTCGACAGTGGCGGAGCACGATGCCGAGCCGGGGGGAGGGGGAGGGGACCGTAGGCACTGACAAACTGGAAGGTCTTCAGGCGCGACCTGAAGATGAGGAAGGAGGGAGCAAGGTGGAGAGATAGAGGAAGAGTGTTCCAGAGCTTTGCGGTACAGTGGCTGAAAGTGCGCTCGATAAGCAACCAGAGCAGAGGGAAACAAGAGGAATGAGCTGCGAGGAACAATCTCCCAATAAAGCAGGTGAATATGTTAGAAACACAGCCTTCACTGAGAAACTTGGTACAAGTTGGTGTAGCAGTGAGTCTGACACCAGTGCAATTAACACTAAGAGTGACTGACAGCACTGGGTTCCTGAACGTGTTTGGGTAAAAAAACACACCGGCTCCCACAGGTGAGGATCAATGCTGATTGGAGTGGCAGGATTTGGGAACAGACCAGTCACTGGGGGAGCTGCAGAACCAAGGAATCTTCCCATCTTGGTTGCTGGAAGCCAAAGCCTTAGTGAGTTGGTAGAGTGGACCTTGCTGGACCCACAATGGGAAACTTGCCAGAGAAAACATCCAGACAGGCATGGAAAACACAGACGACACTAAGTCCCTTTATAATAACAATAATCCCGGCATTTGATACAGCGCCTTATCACGTCTTCGAGACGTCTCAAAGCGCTTCACAGGATACACTAAAATGAATTGACTGTATATTTTGTGGGCAAAACTTTCATCAATGCTAAATACTGTACCATTACCCTTCACACCTGAACATGAAGTATAAGGCACTTTACACTGTACAGTTCACTACATGCGTGAGTGAACAAGTCATTAAGTTTCATGAACTTTGGAAGCACTTGGGTAGCAAACCCGAAACGGGAGGCAACACACGCTGCTCACTGCAGTGAACTGCCCTGGCCGGCCGGCTGACTGCACGTAATGTTAAAAGTCTGTTACAACAATCACACCAAGTACCAGGATCCTTTAATGTTTTATTAAACTGCACTTACCTTTGCAGATGGAGGAAAGCGAGTTTACAATAGCGTGACTACATTCTACCAGCACCAGGCGAGAGAGAAGCTTGTGTAAGCGATGGTGTGTGTAAGCGATGGTGTGTGTAAGTGATGGTGTGTAAGTGATGGTGTGTAAGTGATGGTGTGTGTGTGTGTGAGACAGATTTACAATTGCTACAATTTTTTTCAAAACTAGTGGACAGTGGGACGGGGATTCTGCAAGGATGAGGCCAGAATGGACTAAAGGGCCTTCTCACCTAACCTGTTTGTTAGCCCCGGTGTGAAACTATTTGCTATTGAGCAGTCATAGGAACAGGAGGAGGCCATTCAGCCCCTAGAGTCTGTTCTGCCATTCTATAAGATCATGACTGATCTGTACCTCAGCTCCAATTACCTGCCCTTGCCCCGTATCCCTTGATTCCCTGACCTAACAAATATGTCTCCACCTCAGTCTTGTGAATGGTTCCAGAATTCGCTCTGGAACTCTCTATCCCAACCTTTTTGGGGAAGAGTTCCAGATTTCCACTACCTTTGTATAAAAATAATAACAATCTTTGCATATGATACAGGGCATATCACATCTTCAAGATGTCCCAAAGGGCTTCACAGAATATGCTGTAAAGTGGATGACTGTATTTTGTGGGTGAAACTGAGAGGCCAATTATTCACAGTAGTGTCCCACAAATCAGTCGCGGATTGAATGACCAAATTATTTCCCCCAGAAAAGTAATCCGCCAATCAGCTAACAACCGGGTTCCTACTTCCTGCTGGTAAACAGATGTGTGGAATAAGGAAACTTGCCCAGTGTTTCGTCCCGGCCGGGAATCAAACCCAGGTCCTCTCGCTTGCAAGGTGAATTCTCTGAGCTACAGGACTGTGTGAATGTTGTGTATGACTTTGCCCAGGTCCCTGGCACCCTGCTGGCTGGTGCCCGCTTCTCCTTACCCAGGTAGTAGCTGTACGTTACATTCCTGTACTCCTCCCAGGAGATGTACCCGTCCTGGTTAGTGTCGAAATCTGGCCACTGGCGCTCAACATTCTGGAAGATATACCTCTTCTGCGCGCGTTTTATCCAGGCTTTCAGTTCCTCCTCGGTCACAGAGCCATCTTTATTCTCATCTATTTTATCTACTATCATTCTACAGAGAGAGACAAAGAGGGTGGGGGTCAGAGGCTGGGCCGAGCTTTGCTGGCCGCGCGCACATTCAGACACCTACCCAACAAGAACCCGTAGGTCGCGTTTTTGTACTCGTCCCAGGACATCACGCCGTCGTTGTTCAGGTCGTGGCCCTTCCACTGACGGTCAACGTCCTCGTAGACCCAGCGCTTCTGGGAGAACTTAATCCACGCCCTAAGTTCTTCCTCAGTCACAAAGCCGTCTTTGTCACCGTCGATTTTACCTACAATCTTTCTGTTGGAAGAGGCCGGGCGGGCGGGCAGTGGGAGGGGGAAGACAAAAACCCGGGAAGAGGTTAGGCAAAGACGCTCGCAAAAGCAGGGCTAGGATGAGGCGGCTAGGTCCACTGCAAGCGATCTAAATTCAGAGGAAATACAGATTTAATAATAATAATCCTTGCATTTGATATAGCGCCTTATCAGTGCCTCAAAGTGCTTCGCAGAATATACTGTAAAGTTAAGTGACTGTATGTTTTGTGGGCGAAATGTGATAAGGCGCTAAATCAAATGCAAGGATTATTATTATGATTTATCTAAATCCCAGCCTTAAAAGTAGTAGTTTGCAGTACTCCAGGGCTCCCTGTACAGTCACAAACCCTTCCTCAGGAGGAGGACATGGGTCCACAGCACTTACTGTTATCTGGTGGCACTACTGTGTGGTGGTCGGAAAGCCAAGACCAATCTTTGCTAACAATATGCCTACTGCAGCTCAGAGAGGCTGTGATCAGGCTGGGGATCAACCCATGGCTTCTCCTACTCTTCATTGCTAACCATCAGAGTGGGAGGGGGCTGGGTTTTGCTATGTGTCAGCACAATGTACTTTCACTGGGTTCAAAACCAGCCCGAGAGGATGGGATGAAAGAATGAAAGTTCCAGCTAATTAGTACCAAACAACACGTTTAAATAGCAGAGGCTGTCCTGTCCAAGTGTAACAAGGAGACGCCAGTGAGTCTGGGGCCAGGGACAGGTACGAGCACACGGAGGCCATTAGGAGACAGTCAGTCGAGGTTGAAGCTGTGACAATTATTGAGAGAGTGGAGTTTACTGTGAACATTAACTGTCCTAAACAGTCACCACCCAGTGAACCGTTCAATAGCTGGTGCAACCCCTCACCCTGTTCTGAGGGAGTTAACTATCCTGTTACCCTCACTGTCTGAGCACAAACTAAACCAATCAACTCAACCCAGATACCAGGTACCAGTGGAGCCATGTCATATAAAGAGCCAACTGCTTCCAGTGGAGTGAGAATTGGCAAACTCTCTGAGTGTGTAGACATATTATACATTGTATATATATATCTCAGATTAATATGATTATCGCACATATTAATGCAAACAGCAACAATGCACAAAGCCCTTCATTATATCTGCCCTACAACCGGAAACATTTATGCAGTGCCTTTCATGTCAAAAAAGTTCCCAAACAATAATGATGAGTAGCCAATTAATGTGGAACATGTGGGATGAAGTTATAATAATTAGGGTGAGGAAGGAATGTACAGAAGGATAAATGGGGGTGAAAAACATCACCTAGTTTTTAAATCGAAGCCAGGGAGGGAGTTGGGAATATCCCTTCGTATTCACGTTACTCACAAGTCAGATGAACCTAAATAAATTCTACAGGAAAGGCACTTTATACCTGCAGGTTGTAGTCACAGGTGTAATTTTCACCTGTGAAACATAGCATCTCAAACGTGAATGAGCTTGACAGCAAAGACATTAGCATACACAGCGGCCTTTGTGTCATCAGATGATCCAAAACACTGGATTTCAGTCACAAGCCAAGAGTAAGCCCATGCTCTATCAGAAGGTGAGTGAAACAGCTGAGAATCAGAGACAATGTTAAGCATGTCCAGAGCTTTTAAACAGCAGTGAAAAACGCTGCTTCCAAGTCATGTTTTTACACCGCAAATTTAAAGGCAAAAGATTTCTCACAGTCGAGTGGATCAACATGCAATGCCCGGGCGAGAAAGTTTTACAAAGGGTCTGATAACTGGCCCACAGTCCCAGCTCTCTCTGACACTCACTGACACGGGGCCCTTCTTAACAAACAATTTGAGCAGGAAGGAAACCTTCAGTGATTATCAGGTAACAGACGGTTATAGAGTACAAGTGTGAACAATCCCAACCCCACAACCCATTCTGAGGGTAAATGCAATTATCTGCCTTGATTTTCACAATGTAACTTTAAATTGCCCAGTGCTAAGGTCAGCGGCTGCTGGGTAATCTGGGTTGTGATGTGTAAGGGTTTTACCATCTCCACATAAATATACACACGCACACACTATCAGGATACCTCACACACACACACAAGACATCACATCACACTGTTTCTGGAGAAACACTGATTGGAAGTGATATACATTTTTTGTGTCAGTTTTTTTTGTCCATCTCCCCTCATGAGGACATCCAACTTTTTTTGCTTCCACCGGGTGCCAGGCACCCTCCAGTACCTCGCTTGAGTGGCAACTGTTCACGTACCAGCCTCGAGCTACTTTGGGGCAGGATATTTGATGGTCGGATGTATTACAGCCCAATTCTATCCTCTTTCAAGTTCCACATTCTTGGACCTTCCAGCTGGGATCTCTGGACAGCAATCAGGACTGGGGGTGTGGTGGTGAGTAACACTCTGGTTTATTCCACCCCCTCTCTAACCTGGAGCATTCAGACCATTTGTTGTCCTAACTGCTGCCTATGCCAAAATCATTAACAACACAGTCCGGATTCAAACTCCTGACCTACTGAACCGCAGAGAGCATGACTGCGTGGTAAGATTTTATAGGAACAGGAAGAGGCCATTCAGCCCCTTGAGCTTGTTCCACCATTCTATAAAATCATGGCTGATCTCTACCCACCCAAGTCTCTCCTTGCTCTCCTCAGGTGTGAGCTGATCAAAGCTCTTGGCCTCCTCGGCTCCCAGGAAGGCGTCGTGGTCGTAGTCGAAGTTCTGCGAGTCATCGTGCACCTTGTCGCTCAGCTCCTTGTCGTGGAGGACGCGCTCTTTCTTTTCGGTGGGCTTGCTCAAGGCATAGGCCCCGCACACCGTCAGGTACAGCACCATCTTCGTCAAGCACATCATCTTCTCACTTTCTCTGAGGGGACAGAGGAGGAAAGAACCTGCATGTTTAAAAGCACATCCTCATTTAATAACAACAATCATTTTATTATAGCGCCTGATCACATCTTAAAGAGTCTCAAAGCGCTTCACAGAATATAATGTAAGAATATAATACTCCTTACATTTGAAACAGCGCCATATCACACCTCCGAGACATCTCAAAGCACTTCAGAGTGAATTCACGTTTTCAAATTGAATTGACTGTAATGTCTGTACATGTTGTGGGTGAAATGTGGTTAGCAACTGCGCACAGTAGTGTTCCAGACACAGTCATGGATTGAGTGACCAATTTTTTTAAATCTATCTTTTTATTTAAAGGGATTATAACCCCCAGAAAAGCGACTGCCAATCAACAACAAAAAATACATTTGTTAAAGAATCAAATTACTGTGAAGTGCACAGACTATTTGTAGGTGAACCTGGGCTCTGCTTAGCAGAGTAAGTTCCCACACACGGCCATGAGACCAATTAATGCGGAGGCCAAGATACAGAACAAACTCCCTTATCAGATAGCAGCAATCTCTGCTTCCGATTTACTCTCCCACAAACGCCAACAGCCTGAGTGTTACCTGTACCCTATTCCAATCTAACCTCAGGGAACCCAATCAAAAGTCAATTTAGCACAAAAACAGAATCCATTTGACAATTCTGAAGCCCTTTTGTAGACACTGAATGCATTGAGGGTGTGTTCCACTCATGCATTTAAGTCAAGCAAGAGGCTGAAAGCCTATTCTCTGATGGATTGCTCCTTTGTAATAATCCCTTCGAATTTTTTTTAAAAAAAATAATAATTTGGTTACTCACTCCGTGACTGTTTGTGGGACACTGCTGTGCGCAATTGGCTGCCGCGTTTTGCTGACAAAATATACAGTCAATTCACTTTACAGTATATTCTGTGTAATGATTTGAGACGTCTTGAAGACGTGATAAGGCGCGGTATCAAATGCAAGGATTATTGTTATTATTTTATTTCAAATTCCCAAAAGATTGCTTTTCCTCTTTAACGCTATTTAAAATCTAGAAAAAAACAGCCCATTTTTATTCTCACATTCTGAGAAATCAAATGATGAAACACATAAGGAAACTGGCATTCAGAACACTCTTAAGCATAAACACACTGTCCAGACATAGCAAATTACTAACAGAAGCAGCTTCAGGATTTCAATGTCACCAGACAATTTACCCTCAATTATTACTGCAGCTCCACAGACCGTGACTGCATTTTTGAACTCTCCCCCTCCCCTTTGCCATATAGAGACACACACGTCTTTCTCTGACTCCACTCCCACTGAGTTGTGGACGTTTCCTTAAGGGCTTCCGCCTCTCCTGCACACACTTCCTCTGTGTCCTGCACACTCCCATCAGTGCCACGAATACCAACTCTCTCTTTCCTTCCGTTGCATCAGCTGCACTGAGACGCTGGCCTGATCTCCCACCCCCACTTCATTTACACCACAGCAAACAATAATAATCCTTGCATTTGATATAGCCCCTTATCACGTCTGCGAGAGGTCTCTCAAAGTGTTTCACAGGATATACTGTAAAGTGAATTGACGGTATATTTTGTGGGCGAAACACAGCAGCCAATTGCGCACAGCAGTGTCTCACAGTCAGTCGTGGGTTGAGTGATCAAATTATTGTTGTTTTTTGAAGGGATTATACCCCAGAAAAATGATCTGCCAATTGACTAACAACTGGGTTCCTACTTACTGCTAGTTAAACAGAGGCTTATGGACACTTGCCCAACATTTTGCGCTGCCCGGGAATCGAACCCAGCTCCTCTGGCCTGCGAGACAAGTGCTTTAACCACTGAGCTACAGGACTCCACAATTCCAGTTTATAAACCCCTCACTAGCCTCCAATGTACAATATACAACTTGATGAGCTTCAGCGACCCGGTGATAACACAATGACTTGAGCTTAAACCCAACCCTCTGGTAAACCAAATACGGCAAAAACAGCCATCTTCTGTGTTCTCAACTGAGTCCTTACTTCACAAAGTGACGATTGCTGTTGAATAGTGCACAATGTGCAGATGATGTCTGCAGTAAAGTAACAATGCAGAGGAGAAGGCAGTCAATGGTGTTAGCACCAGAAACCAGCCAGTCAACCCTGCGGCCAGGTGTACTGTGCTCCAATAATAATTATTATTATCAAGCCAAGAGGCCCATTGGTAGCCCTACTCTCTAAGTGAGCCCCTGCTCAGCCAGGGAAGCTTGTCACAGGGTTGCCCCAGTGTACAGTTCTGCAAAAGTTTCCAGTAAATCACCTCTATATATATATATATATATGCATACAGCAAATAATTGTTTTCAGTGACCCCTGCTGCTGGTCAAGGTTAGGTTGGGCAGAGAGCACAAAATATCTCCAACAGTGGCTTATACACGTGCAAGTTTCAGTTTCATCCCAAAACATATACTTCCACTCTATTCATCTTCTCTGTTGAATCAGATCTACAACACACGGTAGAAATGGGAGATGTGACAGACATGGGTTTCAGGAGACCTGACACATGGAAACAACACTATTTACCTCCAGAGGCAAACCCCTCCTGTTGGCATAAACTCAACACTCACATACTCCTAACTCCCTCCCTATATTGTCATTATATAGCACCCGTCACGCAGAGTATAGTGTCTCGGGGTATTTAACAGTGCAGACTGGCGCTGAACCGGGTGGAGGGAGGAAGTGACCGTCAGCACGGTTGAAGAGGAACTTCAGATTGATCTGAAAATGGGGAAGATGGGGACAGGGCAGGGGGATTGAGGGAGAGAATCCCAAAGTTTCGGGGTGTTGTGGCTGAAAGTAGTCACCGAAGGTGGGGTGGAGGGCATGAAGGGCAAGCAGGAGGCTGGAGCCAGCCGAGCAGAGGTAATGGAGTGGGGAATAAGCAGAGGAAGCGAGAGGTAAGGAGGTGCCACCATGTGTAGACGAGCGTGAGGATTTTGAAGTTGATCTGTGCTGTGAGAGGGAGCCGGTGGAGCCTGGTGTGATGAGGGTACTGAGATTAGAGCGGGTGAGTTCTGAATTAGTTGGATTTTGTGGATAGTGGAGCTGGCAATCTTCCAAACTGTGACTCCCTCGGGGAAATTGTGCCCCTTTCACTCATCTTTTGTGGTGTACATAGAAGAGTTCAACCTAATTGTGCTACTGATAGCGAACATGTCACCCAATACTCCTATTTACAAGTTCCTCATTGTGACTCGTCTTTAAGCTCAGTTGCACCTATTGAAACACGTCACTTTAAGAGTTCTCAAACCCAAACCATCCCAAACCAGTTGCAAAAAAGCCACCATCTAAATCATCAATCCTTTTTGACCATTTTTATTAGATGTAATGGATATTTAATTCATTTTCCCACCTTTTCTCTATAGTGTACTTCCTTCCCAAATGCAGCACTCTGCATGCTATCCCTTTGGGGCAGCCCTCTCTATCCCTCTTACTCTCTTTTTCCTCTCCCCCCAGCTCTCCCTATCCCTCTTACTCTCTTTTTCCTCTCCCCCCAGCTCTCCCTATCCCTCTTACTCTCTTTTTCCTCTCCCCCAGCTCTCCCTATCCCTCTTACTCTCTTTTCCTCTCCCCCAGCTCTCCCTATCCCTCTTACTCTCTTTTTCCTCTCCCCACTCTTACTCTCTTTTCCTCTCCCCCCAGCTCTCCCTATCCCTCTTACTCTCTTTTTCCTCTCCCCCCAGCTCTCCCTATCCCTCTCACTCTCTTTTTCCTCTCCCCCCAGCTCTCCCTATCCCTCTCACTCTCTTTTTCCTCTCCCCCCAGCTCTCCCTATCCCTCTCACTCTCTTTTTCCTCTCCCCCAGCTCTCCCTATCCCTCTCACTCTCTTTTTCCTCTCCCCCCAGCTCTCCCTATCCCTCTTACTCTCTTTTTCCTCTCCCCCCAGCTCTCTCCCCTACATTCTAACCACCTCTGTGTGAAAAATCATTTCATTTTTTAAATTTTTGGTTGAAAGTTTGTGGGACGCCGCTGTGCACAATTGGCTGCCACGTTTCGTCCACAAAATACACAGTCACTAGACTTTATAATATCCCGCGAAGCGCTTTGAGACGTCTCAACAACGTGATAAAGCGCTGTATCAAATGCAAAGATCATTATTATGTTTTTTTTTTAAATCGCGCTGCCCAATGCCCTCCTTGTTTAGTAATTCCAATATATCTTACAGATGTTTCCAACAGGTGAAATGTTAGGTGGGAATAATCCCCAATCGACCCCCCACCCCATTAACCTCCCACCTCACTCCCTCTCTTTCCCTACTATCCCCCCTCCACCTCAGTTACCCTCTGCTCCAATCTCCATCATCCCACTGCATCTGCCCTTCAGCAAAGCACGGCTACCTCTCCCCCACTCTTTACCTTTCTCTCTCACTCTCAACCACCCCACCACCCACGGCTCGCTTACGCCTCTCTCCCCTCACACTTCTCCTCCCTCACTGGCGCACTCTTTTCTCCTCTTCTTCCCCCAGTCTTTCCCCTTTTCCCATCTCTCTCCCCCTCCCTCTCTTTTCCCCCTCTTCCCCTTCCTACCCCCTCTCTCACTCTCTTTCCCCATCTCTCGCCATTTCCCCCTCCCTCTCTATTTCCCCTCTCTCCGCATCCCTCTCTCTCTTTCCCCTCTCTCCGCTCTCCCCATTCCTCTCTCTTTTTCCCACTCTCTCTCTACTCTCCCCATCCTCCTCTCTTTACCCTCCCTCCCTCCCCACTCTCTCTCCCCCCCGCTCTCTTTTCCCCTCCCCGCTCTCTCTCTTGCGCACTCTCCCCTCTCTCTTTCCCCGTCTCACTCTCCCTCTTCTCCACTCCCTCTCTTTGCCCTTCCCCGCTCTCTCCAGCCCCCTCCCTCTCTCCCCCACCCCGCTCTCTCTCCCCCCCTCCTCCACCCACCCCTCTCCTCTCCCCCTCTCTCTCTCCCCTCTCCCCCCACCCCATTCTCTCTCCTCTCCCACCCCCACACTCCCCTCTCCTCTCTCCCTCCACTCCCCCTCCTCTCTCCCCTCACTCCCCCTCCTCTCTCCCCTCACTCCCCCTCCTCTCCCCCCCTCCTCTCCCCTCACTCCCCCTCCTCTCTCCCCTCACTCCCCCCTCCTCTCTCCCCGACTCTCTCCCCCTCTCTCTCTCCTCTCCCCCACTCCTCTCCCCCCACACTCCCCCCTCCTCACTCCCCCCCACATTCCCCCCCCACACTCCCCCCCTCCTCACTCCCCCCCCCACACTCCTCCCACACTCCCCCCCCCTCCTCACTCCCCCCCCCTCCTCACTCCCCCCCCCTCCTCACTCCCCCCCTCTCTCACCTCTCCCTACTCTCTCCCCCCCTCTCTCCTCTCCCCCCTCTCCTCCCCCCCCACTCCCTCCCTCCTCAATCCCCCCCCACTCCCTCCCGACTCTCTCCCCCCCCCACACTCCCCCCCCTCTCTCTCCCCCCCCACACTCCCCCCCTCTCTCTCCCCCCCGCTCTCTCCCTCCTCCCCTGACGCCTCTCTTACCTTCTCCGCCGCCGTCTCTGTGTCTGAAACACTCCCGCGAACCCTCAGCCCTTCTCTGGCCTCTCGTCCGCCCCGTTACCGGAAACACGTGGCCTCCCCGCCAGCCCCCAGCCAATCAGCGCCGCGCTCTCCCATTGGCCGGTCCGCCATGGCGCCAAACCATTGGTCAGCTCATGGCGCCCTCTCATTGGCCAGCCATGGCGCTCTCCCATTGGCCCACCGTGGCGCTCTCCCATTGGCCCGTCCGGCGCGGCGCTCTCCCATTGGCCAGAAACCGCCACGTCGCGAGCCCCGTCGGTTGGTCGCGAGCTCAGGGCCGGGATGGGAGCGGTTTGAGCGTGCGTGCCTTTGCGTCGACGCTCTACGTCACCGCGCACACGTCGGCTGGCTTTTTTTTTCATGAATGAATCAATTGAATGAATGAAGCCGATTCCCGCCAATTACCCTTCCTTGACACCAGCACTGGGTCAAGTGAGGATCATTACTACCACTGCTGCTGCCGAACCCTCCTACCGTTGACATAGCGCCTCAGCGCGGCATCGAGACGTCTCAGAGCGCTCCACAGAACATGCTGTAAAGTGGAGTGACTGTGTATTTTGTGGGTGAAAAGCAGCAGCCAATTGCGCACAGCAGCGTCCCCACAAACAGCCGTGGGCTGAGTGACTAAATTATTGTTAACTTTTTTTTAAAGAGGGATGTATTACCCTTGGAAAGTGAGCCACCAATTGACTTGACAACCGGGATCCTACTTACTGCTTTATAAATGGAATCTTGTTGTTGTTGTTGTTGTTGTTGCTGGGTAAACCGAGACATTTGTGTGGATAAGGAGACTTGCCGAACTTTATGCTCTGCCTGGGAATCGAACTCAGGCCCTCTCGCCTGCTCTATAGCCAATACTCTACAAATTGCAATACAAATTCACATTTAGGTAGTGCCTTTCATGTCAGGAGGATGTCTCAAAGTGCTTCAACCGGTTCTATTGGGGGGAAGTGCCATATTATCAGAGATACCGTCCTTGAATGAAATGTTAAAACCCGGTCCATGTCTGTGACCGTTCCTTTAGGTGGACGGTAAAGATCCTATGAGTTTCTCTCTCCCGGTGTCCCAGCCCAAAAATACCCCCCAGATAAAATCGCTTATTCACTACAAGGCTGTTTGTGGGACATCGCTGCGTGCAATTTACTCAAAATGCAGTAGCTTAAAAGAGAAACATACCAATTTTTATTTATATTTACCNAAAAAAAGGAATATCACAGATGTAAACCAGCACTTTGTATTAATATAAAGTACAATGGAAACACTCTTGAATTCGCAAAAACAAATTAAAATACAAATATCATCGGAGTCCCACAGCCACGAGGCTACTGAGCCTGGAGAGAGGCATGAGTGTGGGTCTATCGCGCTCCCATAGACCGAAGTAGGTTCTCTCTGGGTCTCTTGACTCATAGGCTTTGACTTCTCCATTGGTGTTCTGCTCGCTGCTCTCCTTCTCTCCCTTTAGCTCTTCCTTCCCTTCTCTCTTCTCCCCATAAGGCATGGTGTGTAGAGATAGCACCTGGTTACACATCTTGCAGTGGTCACAGGAGCAGATCTCAGTGATTTCATTCCACTCGTCTCCTACACACAAAACGGACTAGTTTTCAACAGGAGACGGTCGGGTGTCAATATCATTTCCCTCACCTCACATTTAATGAACAATAATAATCCTTGCATTTGATGCAGCGCCTTATCACTATCCATTCATTATTCCCAAGTCAGCGACTGCACAGGTCAGATACATAATAAAGTTCCCTCTAATAATAATAATCCTTGCTTTTGATAGAGCGCCTTATCATGTCGTTGATGCATCTCAAAGCGCTTCACAGAATATACTGTAACGTGTAGTGACTCTATTTTGTGGGCAAAACACGGCAGCCAATTGTGCCCAGCAATGTCCCACAAACATGGATTGATTTGGCAAGGGGGGAGGGACCCTTTATCCTAATCCATGGATCTCTTTACTACATACCTGGACTATTTTCTTCCTTCACATTTAACAGTCGCTCAGGTCTGGTTCGTGCCTTTTGGAGATCGGTGCTGTCTGGAACCCTGGGGAGAAAGTCTTACATCAGTGTTGGGACAACAAGATGTTTGGGAGAGAATGTCAATCTTACAAGCATTGGGACCTCCTCATGGCTGGACTCAATGAGAATGTGGCAGATCTGTGGCGAAATGCGCACAGCAGTGTCCCTCACAAAGTTGTGGATTAAGTGACCAAATTTTATCATTTTTTTATACAGTGAGAGACATAGCACATCCAAACTGCAGGTAATAGAGAGCTGTAGCATTCCGAGATGCATTGTAATACACAACAATAACAACACCAACAACAAATTACATTTATATAGTGCCATTCACATTGGGAGGACGTCCCAAGTGACCGTGCACCAATTCCCTTTCATCCATTCTCCTCTAACTCATTCCTTCCAAGGTCCTTAAGATCACACCTCACTTCCTTCATTCTTCCCCTCCTCCTTCAATCTGCACGTCTCCTCAGTCACTTACTTTTCTCATCCTCCTGCACTCGGCCAACAAATTAAAATGTTCTTGATTGAATATTTCTTGATTAATGCCATAAAATCAAGAAATATTCACTCAAGNAAAAATAGCATCCTACCAACAACAGCGAGGCTCGATCAGTCACCATCACAGACAAACCACATTCACGCAAATGTAAGACTCAGACAAGTTTTATAACAATAATAATCAAACACAGACTTACCTAGATTTGTGCAAATCGGGGGGAGGATTATTACTCCTGGAAAACATGTGGAGTAAGGAAACTTGCCTAAGGTTTCACCCTGCCCAGGAATCAAACCTGGGTCTTCTCGCTTGCGAGGCGAGTGCTCTAACCACTAAGCTACAGGACTCCAATACAAACCATGAACAGCTATGTATCCCTTAGGTTGTAGAATGCACACAAGGGCCGGTGCGCTTCGCAGTGACTTACCACTCTTTCTTGAAGATATGGACGCTGCCCTTGACTAGAGATGGATGTAAAGCCCTGGATGTCCCTGGTGGGACTTCAGTGGAAACTCCGCTCTTCCCGAGGACCTGCCCCAAGGCCCGAGACCCTTTGTCCAGAGACTCCTCATCTTCTTTGGATGACCCATTGGGCTGCTGCTTGGCTCTGGCCTGCTCGCTGCTCAGGTAGGAGCTCCTCAGCTCTGGCCCCTCGTGAGTTCCTTTTTCAGAGCTGACCCCCGAGGATGAGGAGCTCACTGAGTCACACATGGAGGTTTTGGGCAGGTTGATGTCCGTGTCTTTGAAGGTGATGGAGAGACCAGAGTAGATGATGTTGATGAGCTCCTCCCACAGGCGGAACACATGGTTGGGGTGCTTGTCCTGCAACTGGAGGTAGAATGTGCTCCTGTTGGCCAAACCCAACTTCAAACACCGGCTGCTCTTCTTGTGGACACTCAGCCTGACCAGCTTCATTGGCAGCATCCTACCAACAACAGCGAGGCTCCATCAGTCAGCATCACAGACAAAATATACTCACTCACGTGTGAGGCCCAGACAAATGTTTATAACAATAAAATGATAATCTTTGCATTTGATATAGCTGATTATCATGTTGTTGAGGCGTCTCAAAGCGCTTCACAGGATATACTGTAAAGTGAATTGACCGTGTATTTTGGGGGCAAATCTCAGCAGCCAATTGCACACAGAAGCGATCTGACAAACAATCATGGATTGAATGAGTAAATTATTTTTTATAGGGATTATTAGGATTATTACCCTCGGAAAGTGAACTGCCAATTGACTAACAGTTGAGTTCCGACTTACTGCTAGGCAAACAGAGGTGTGTGAAGCAAGTAAAATTAGCTAAGGTTTTCCCTACCCAGGAATCAAACCCAGGTCCTTTCGCTTGCGAGGTGAGTGCTCTAACCACTGAGCTGTGTGGATGGTTTGTTCACCACTGTTACCTGGTGATCTTCATGCTGGGAGCTTCATCAGCCGTCTCCTCAGACTCGGGGTCTTTGGTGGCGACGATGAGAATGTTCGGGAGGGGGAGGAAGGGCACAGAGGCTGTTATACCCAGTGTCAGGGGAGTCGGCACATTGTGGATGTCCACTAGATTCCCCCGTCTGGTCACCTGCAGCAAAATCAAATCAAAATTGTCAAAAGGCCATCTTTATTCTACCTCCCAATCGTTCCCCAACCAACTCCTGGCATGCATCAGCTGGGCTCAGTCATTCTCTCTCTCTCTCTCTCTGCTCCTCTTAAGGAGGTTGTGGGTTCAAGTCCCACATTAGGGACTTTGAGCTCGCAGTGCAAGTTGACACTGCAGTGCAGTTTTGAGGGGAGCGCTGCATTGTCAGAGGTGCCATCCATCAGATGAGACGTTAAATTACATGAGACTTTTCACCCACGAACACATGCACAGTCACTCCACTTCACAGTATATCCTGTGAAGTACTTTGAGATGTCTTGATCTGATAAGGCGCTATATCGAATACAGGGATTATTATATAATTATAAATCAACAACAACAACAACAACAAGATTCCACTTATAGAGCGCCTTTCACGTCAGGAGGACGTCCCAAGGCGCTGCACAGTTGGGTCATGACCCGAGCAGGGGGGAAATGGTCAGGGTGAGGGGAGGGAAGGGAGGGAGAGAGGAGGGGGGAAATGGTCAGGGTGAGGGGAGGGAAGGGAGGGAGCGAGGAGGAGGAAGAGAGTCGAGAGGGGAGCTGAAGGCACGGTCAAAGAGAAAGGTTTTGAGACCGGCCTTGAAGGAGGAAAGGGAGGAAGCGGCGAAGGCACTGGGGGATGGAGTTCCAGAGCCTGGGGGCTGAGAGGGGGCCGACCACCGATAGTAGGGCGGTGGGGGGGGGGGGCGTGGAGCAGACCGGGGCCAGAGGAACGGAGGGTACGGGGGGGGGGGGTGGAGAGGTAGGAGGGAGCAAGGCCGTGAGTGGCCTTGTAGGTGAGGATGAGGATATTGAAATCAATCCTCTGGGGGATGGGGAGCCAGTGGAGGCGAGCGAGGGTGGGAGTGATGTGATCGCGAAGCCTGGTGCGGGACCCACTTGTGCCTTGTCAGGTGGATGTTAATGATTTTGCGTTACGACCGAACAGGGAATTTTCCCAGCTGTCTGTTTGTGGGACACAGCGCATGTAGATTGGGTCCATGTGTTCAAGTACACAGTCACTGCGTTTGCAGAATAATTCTGTGAAGCACTTTGAAACGTTCAACGCGGTAAGGAATGGTATCAAATACAAGATTATTATTATTATTACATGTCACGTCAACATTCCTCCAGATAAATCCATCATTCGCCTGTTGTGTTTGCGAACAAAAAACAGTCACTAAAACAGGCGCGAGTTTAATAGTAGAAAATTCTGTACATTAGCCAGATTGGTAGCCCGTGTGTTTCATAGTGAATAGCATTCCCCTGTATGTATTATGGGAATAGCAGGCTGTGTGTGTATAGTAGAGAATAGCAGCCTCTATGTGTGTTAGAAAGAGCACCTCCTCGGTGTATTTGTGTGACTAGCAGTTGCCGTGCGTGTTGCAGCAGAGCCTGTATCACACTGTCAGCTCTGTTAATTACAGGGGGAGAGTTTTCTCTGTACTGAATGCCTCTGAGCTGCTTTATGATGTCAGGAAACAGTGTGACACCTTAACCATCGTGAAAAGCTCGGTGATAAACAGCTGGGGAGCAGGTTGGAGCTGAGTGGATTATGACTGAATTCATAGAAATTTGGCCCATCAAGTCATAACTGGCGCTCAGTCCTCAATGGAGATATCAACCCCTAACCTGGGAGCACTGCGTGCAACAGTGTGTGTGTAAAAAAAATGTGGTCAATCAATCTTCGACTGTTTGTGGGACACTCCTGTACTGTAGCTGACCTGGGAATGATAGATGAACAGTGTAGAGGAGACCACTCTGTATCTAACCTATGTACCTGTTACGAGGAAAAGGCAATAAAGGGATTTTTTGAAGACCTTCCTCTTTGACCATGCCAGCTCGGCATTCTACTCCACCCGTCAAGAGCTCTACCCTGCGTGAGGGGCGCTATATAAATGCAAGTTGTTACGGGAGAGGGGATCATGGGGAGATGAAAAAAATGTGTGGACGAATTGGTTCTGTTTCTGTGCTGTAACAGTCTATATAATCCCATGATGTCAGGTTGGTTACTTTACCAAGTCATGGAATTTCACCCTCAAACTAGAAAGGAATGGGGAAAAAACATTTGCTCTCTCATCCCGGGTTTTAGATGTCTCCAAACATCAAATAGTAACTCTAGTGCCAGTCCGGCTTAATTGCTAGAACTTTCACTTTCAAGTTAGATGGTTCTAGGTTCAAAACCTCACTTTGGGACTTTTAGTCTAGACTACCACAATATAGTCCTGTACTGGGGAGCACTACATTGTCAGAGGTGTTTTCCTTCAGATGTGATGTAATACCAAGGTCCCTTTTGCCCATCAGAAGGATCCTATAGCAATACTCAAATAGAGAAATGAGTTTCTCCCACTATCCCGGCCAACAATCCTTCAGATATAATGATCATTTTTCATGCCTGTTTGCTGAGCGCAATTGGCTGCCATGTTCACCTACAGTATTTACCCAGTCACTGCACAGCCAATCATGTGAAGCACTTTGAGACACACAACAATGTGATATAAAATGTAATGTTACGATTATTGTAATATTCAACAACTGAACACCTTCTACATTGTACCTGGATGAAATCGCTTTCAAAGACAGCAGAATGGGAGAAGAGATCATATTCCTTGGACCGCAGGAGTTTGTGTAGAGAACCGCCCTCCACCCCGAGCTGGGTGGGATTGGGATCCTGAGATGGTACATCAGGAGTGAAGCCTTTGGGTTCATCCATTGTTTGGTCGGGATATTTCCAATTGGTCCATCCAATACTCTTGTTTTTACCAACTCTACCCAACTGAACCCACCTCAACCCAACCCACCCACTTCAACCCAACTCAACCCAATCCTGTTCCATCCAACTCAACTAAGATCAACACAACTAATCGCAATGCAACCCAACTCCTCACAATTGAACACCTCAACCTAATCCAATGTAACCCAACTCAACCTGTCTTAACCAACTCAACTCAACCCAGCATAACCCAGAGCAACTATCTCAATCCAATTCAACTCATCCCAATGTTAACCTATCCAACTCAATCCAACCCAATTCAGACCACCTCAACCCAACTTAAATCAACTCAATTCAACTCAGCCCAAACCAACTGACCCCAACACTATCCAACCATTCTATATCCTCTGGTTAAATCTCTTTGCTGGATCATTCAAGCATTGTCTGTGCTGGTTTCATGGAAGGCGGGGAAAGCATTTCATTTCTGTTTCCCAATGTTCCAAATAATAATCCACTGGGGATGATGGACTTCACCTCACAGTATCAGATTAGGACACAAGGTATGGTGTGTAGGGGGTGTCAGATTGGTGCTTGTGGATGAGGTGTTAGGAGAGAGAGATGTCACAATGGTTGTCAGGGAGGGTTCGTTGTTGTCCTCAGTGAATTCATGAACCTGTAAGGCAGGGAGGTGGGTAGAAATGAGAATCAACACCCAGGTGGCCTGAAGTGAAAGCTCACAGGAACTAAATAAATCATTACTGTGATTGAGCCTCTAAGGCCCAGAATTCCACATAGTCTTAGCCTGCAAGACCCATTTTATTTTAAAATTTAAATTTGCCCCAAATTCCAGACAATTCTTAAAATTAGTCTAAGTTTGGAAGCTGGATTCTTTTTAAGATTGGCTGCCGCGTTTTGCTCCAAAAGTACACAGTCACTGCACTTTACAGTATATCCTGTATAGTGCTTTGAGACATCTTGAAAATATAATGTGCTGTGTCAAATACAAGGATTATTATTATATAGCAGCTTATCAAATCGTCGAGATGTCTCAAAGTGCTTCACATGATGTTTCTGTAAAGTGTAGTGACTGTATTTGTAGGCAAACGCCTATTTGTGCACAGCAATATCCCACAAATATCCATGAAGTGAATGACCAATTTTACCTGGGGGATTGTTGGCCAGGACACAAGGAGAAACAACAAACCCCCTATAGTGCATTGAATGAGCTCAAAATCCAGACATGGGGCTTATTTAAAGCCACAACTTTCTGAATACAGTACAACCAATTAGGCCAGGCTGCAACAACAACAACAACATTACGTTTATAGAGAGCTTTTCATGTCGGGAGGACATCCCAAGCGGACATCAGGTGTCGGGGCCCGAGCATGGGGGAGGGGTGGTGTAGGGGTGCGGGAAGGCAGAGAGGTGGGAGGGAGACCAAAGGCACGATTGAAGAGAAGGGTCTTGAGACCGGCCTTGAAGGAGGCGAGGGAGGAAGCGAGGCCAAGGGACCGTGGGATGGAGTGCCAGACTGTGGGGGCAGAGAGGCTGAAATCCCGGCCACCGATGGTAGGGCGGGTCAGGCGGGAGACATGGAGCAGCCGGAGCCCGATGGACGGAGGGTGCGGGCAGGTTGGTAGGGGGTCAGCAGGTCAGAGGGGGGAGGAGGGGATGGTCTTAAAGGTGAGGACGAGGATCTTGTCCAGAGAATGTCCAGAAAAATTTGCCCAGAAACATAACGAGAGTCTTTGGTAACAATTTTTCAAAAGCCAACAACAACAACAACAACAACAATAATCGTTGACCTAGGGGGTCAACTGTTTCTGAACTGGGGGGCGACTTTCAACCGGTGCACACCCTCCCACACTGGAGGTAGGAACTTTTATCCGAGGGCGGAACCTTTCTTCGGCGGTTGCGGCGCTCCAGCCGGAGGGGTTTGAAGGGCGCGCGGAGAAGATGGCGGCGCCCGGAGGGGCGGCGGAGGAGCGCGAGGAGAAGAGCGGCGGCGCGGCCGAGGGCGCGGCCAAGGTGACGGGGACGGTGTTTGTGAGGAACCTCCCGGTCTCGGCGGCGGGGGAGCAGCTGCGGGAGGTCTTCAGTGACCTCGGACCCGTCAAACACTGCTTCGTGGTGAGGGAGCGAGGTGAGAGCACGTGATCCCCGCACACCACGTGGTCACCTCAGCCCAGACACCAGAGCAGCTTCTGGGTTCATCCCCTCTCCTCCTCCTCCTCCTCTCCCCCTCCTCCTCCATCTCCCTCTCCTCCTCCTCTCCCCCTCCTCCTCCATCCCCCTCCTCCCCTCCCTCCTCCTCTCCCCCTCCTCCCCCCCCCCCCCCCCCCTCCCTCCTCCTCTCCCCTCCTCTCCTCCTCCTCTCCTCTCCTCCCCTCCCCTCCTCCTCTCCCCTCCCCTCCTCCTCCCTCCTCCTCCTCTCCCCCTCCTCCTCCCCTCCTCCTCCCCCCTCCCTCCCTCCTCCTCCTCTCCCCCTCCTCCTCCTCTCCCCTCCCCCCTCCCCTCCTCCTCTCCCTCCTCCCTCCTCCCTCCTCCCCCTCCTCCTCCTCTCCCCTCCTCCTCCTCTCCTCCTCCTCTCCCCCCCTCCTCCTCCTCTCCCCCCTCCTCCATCTCCCTCTCCCCTCCTCCTCCTCCCCTCCTCCTCCATCTCCCTCTCCCCTCCTCTCCCCTCCCTCCCCCTCCCCCCCTCCTCCTCCATCCTCCCCCCTCTCCTCCCTCCTCTCCTCCATCTCCCTCTCCCCTCCCCCCTCCCCTTCCTTCCCCCTCTCCTCCATCCCCCCCCCTCTCCCCTCCATACTCCCCTCCATCCTCCTCCCCTCTCCTCCATCCTCCTCCCCCTCTCTCCTCTCCCCCCTCTTCCCTCCTCCATCCTCCCCCTCTCTCCTTCCTCCCTCCCCCCCCCTCTCCTCCCCCCACCCTCCTCTCTCTCCCCCCCCCCCAACACTGTGTCAGGGACTCTGAGCTCACAGTCCAGGCTGACGCTCCAGCGCAGCGCTGGAGGGAGCACCACATTGTCGGAGTCGCCGTCCCTCGGATGAGACGTTAAACTGCGCTCCGGTCTGTGCCTTTGCCTCCTTCAAGTCCCTCCTCTGTGACTGCGCCATCGGTCATCCTCCTACCCCCACCCTCCATACCTCCTGATCCCAACCACCAGCTTGGGTGCGGATCCCTGACTGTCCAGCACATTGGGACGTCCTCCTGACGTGAAAGGATGTACAGGTGTCATTTGTTGTTGTTGTTGCCCTGTTCCGGTGGGTGTTAAAGATCCTGCGGTGCTGTTGGAAAAGAGAAGGCAGTTCCTCTCTCTCTCTCTCTCCCGGTGTCCTGGCCGACAATCCCCCGGATACAATCGCTCACTCGCTCTATGGCTGTTTGTGGGGACGTTGCTGTCTGCAAAATTGTCCGCTGCATTCGCCATTCATAAAGCAAACAGTGAAAGGTGCTATATAAATGCAAGTTGTTGTTGTTGATACACTTCAGTTTAATAAGGTATGATATGAAATGTATGGATAATTCTTACTCCCAACAGAGGAAATTCTGGGGCGATTGCAGTTTGCATGTGGACGAGACAATTCTACACAATGTCAGTGCACATAACCGGCTCCTTACTGTACGTGCAAACGTAGCGTGGGGCTGAGGAACTGTATGATGTTTAATTGTGTGTCCTACGGTTGAGCTACAGTGCTGTGGTGCGTAGGGATGACTGGGGCTGTGGGGTGGGTTAGCGGAAAATGTAACATGTGATCTTGTGCTGCAGGGAGTGATGTCTGTCGTGGGTTTGGCTATGTGACCTTCTCGCTATCGGAGGACGCACAGCGAGCGCTGCGGGAGCCCAAGTACTACGATGGACGGAAGCTCAGCGTCTCGCTCGCCAAGAAGAAACTTCACCAAAAGAAAGAGGGTGAGTGTCAGGTGCACGGGGGTTGGGGGGGGGGGGGTGCGGGAGAGGCGCTGAGGCGGAGGTGGGTGGGGGAGCTGGTAGGGGTTGTGACCCGGCACAAGAGATTAGACAGTGTGTACGTGAGACTTCATTTCCCCCTTTCCCACCCTCCCCCAAACTTGTTATCACCCAACATCCGCACATCAACATACTCACATCTTTCAGCAAATGTTGTGGGGGGAATCTCTGGGCAGAACCGATTGTGAAGTGTTTGTCATGTTTGCAGTTTCCAAGCCGCCTCCCGAGAAAAAACCCAAAACAGACACGCTGAAGAAATCCCGCAGGAAAGCTCGACTCATCATCCGCAATCTGAGCTTCAAGGTATCATCGTGTCTGTGCTGGGGCTCACTCCCCCACTGGAGCTCTCTAACCCCATTCCCTGCTCTCTCTCTTTCTCTCCCCATGGTGTCTGTGCTGGGGCTCGCTCCCCACTGGAGCTCTCTAACCCCATTCCCTGCTCTCTCTCTTTCTCTCCCCATGGTGTCTGTGCTGGGGCTCGCTCCCCCACTGGAGCTCTCTAACCCCATTCCCTGCTCTCTCTCTTTCTCTCCCCATCGTGTCTGTGCTGGGGCTCGCTCCCCCACTGGAGCTCTCCACTCTACCCCCATTCCCTTGTGCTAAACACTGCGCAATAAACATGTTTCTGTCTTTTTCAGTGTTCAGAAGATGACCTGAAGCAAATATTTTCGCAGTATGGGACTGTGCTCGAGATGAACATCCCAACAAAAGAAGGTTTGTGGCAACAGGATCCGAGTCCTGTGCTCTATAATAGAATAGAAACTAATAATAATCCCATAGAATATAATAATCCTTACATTTGATGCAGCAGTAAGTAAGAAACTGGTTGTTAGTCGATTGGTGCAATGCTTTCTAGGGCTAATAAACCCTTCCAAAAAATAATAATTTGGTCACTTCAATCCACGACTGTGTGTGGGACGCTGCTGTCCGCAATTGGCTGCCGCGTTTCGACCACAGAATACACAGTCACTACAATTTACAGTATGTTCTGTGAAGCGCTGAGACGTCTCGAAGACTTCATAAGCGCTGTATCAAATGCCAGGATTATTATTATGATTATTATTGTTATCATTATGTGTACTCACAGTGTGCTGGGCTGATACCTGTCTGTCTCACACTGGGTTGTGGGAAGTCGGCATTGCCAGTGACTCTGTGTCCCGCGGAGTGGGGAGAGAGAGCTAATCCTGTTCCGTTTCCCTCTGCAGACGGGAAGATGCGAGGATTCGCCTTCGTGCAGTTCCGAAATGTTCTGGAGGCGGGAAGAGCCCTGAAGGGGATGAATCTGAAGGAGATTAAAGGTAACAGAGAGAAAATGAGGACAGAGTGAGGTGGGAGGAAGCGAGGGAGGTTGGGGGAAGAGTGGGGCTGGGGTGGGAGTGAGAGCGGGGTCTGACCCTGGTGTGTGTTACAGGCCGCCCTGTGGCTGTGGACTGGGCGGTGGCGAAGGACAAATACAAGACGACAGTGGATCCCAGTCAGATAGGTACTGGGGCGGGGCCTGGGCGCGATGTGGGGCGGGGCCTGGGTGCGGTGTGGGGCGGGGCCTGGGCGCTGTGTGGGGCGGGGCCTGGGAAGGGGAGGAGTTTGGGCTGTGCCATACTCCGCTGTTTGATTGGCTGTAAATCTGTGTGTTTGGGAGCAGCCATGGAAAAGAAACCCAGTCAGGGCCAGAGGGAGGAAGAGGAAGGTGAGACGAAGGAGGAGGAAGAGGAAGGTGAGGGTGAGACGAAGGAGGAAGAGGAAGGTGAGACTGAGGAGGAGGAGGAAGAATTGGAAACCATGTCCCAGCCACCAGCCAAGAAGAGGTAACCTCAAGAAGGTTCTCCATCCGCCTCTCACTCCCCTCTCCCCCCCCTCTCTCTCCACCTTACTTGCTGCCTCACTCTCCTCCTCTCTCTCTCTCTTCCCTCCGCCTCGCTCCCTCCATCTCCCCTCTCTCTGTCTCTCTCCATTCTCGTCTCAATGCGCTCCACCAAATGCAAGGATTATTATTATTATTATCATAATAAATCAAATCTTATTCAGAGTACCTCGTTTCAGATCATTGACAACTGAGGAAGAGGAGTCAAGTGATGATGAAGATGGCAGTGAGCAGCAGGAAGACAGCTCTGATGAAGGTGGCTCTGAAGAGAGTGACCTGGGCTCAGAGGAAGATGAAGATGGTGAGTGGGAGTTTGAAATCTTTGTAACGTTTTATATGTGTAAATATAAATATATTTACATAACGCACACTCTGGGACCCAAAGCCTTGGCTCTCACCATCTGGGCCTAATACTCCGGGATTAGACAATCAGGCTGCGTCCCTCCAGGGAGAGAGAGAGAGGGGGAGAGTGTACAATTAAATTAATAATCCTTGCATTTGATACAACGCCTTATAACATCTCTGAGACGTCTCAAAAGCGCTTCACAGAATATACTGTAAAATGTAGTGACTGTAGTTTGGGGCAAATCGCGGCAGCCAGTTGCGCACGGCAGCAAAGATGTCGTCTCAAAGATGCGATAAGGCACTGTATCAAATGCAAGGATTAAAAAAAATCCTTGCTCTCTCTCTCAGTGTTTCCCTCTGTCTCTCTGTCACAGGTGAGGAGCCAGTGAAGAAGAAGAAGAAACAGAGGAAGACGAAGCTGTTGACAGATGTCCACGAGGGGCGGACTGTCTTCATCAGGTCAGCCTGAAACCTCCCTCCCTCCCTCCCTCCCTCCCTGTGTGTGTGTGTAAGCACTGCACACAGGAGTCAAACTATCCTCCTTCACACACACACACACACTCACAGCTCTGCTCAGGCCACAGCTGGGCCGCTGGTACCAGCCCAGGCTGACACTGAGTCTCTGCTGCAGGAATCTATCGTTTGACAGTGAGGAGGAGTCGCTGGAGGAGCTGCTGCTGAGCTTTGGGGAACTGAATTACGTGCGGATTGTCCTGCACCCCGACACCGAGCACTCTAAAGGTGAGGGCTGGGGGAGGGAGGACACTGTCCCTCTACACTGTGCGTCCGTCTACACTCCCAGGTCAGGGTTAGAGACACGGTAAAGCTCCTCTACACTGCGTCCACACTCCCAGGTCAGGGTTAGAGACACAGTAAAGCTCCTCTACACTGCGTCCACACTCCCAGGTCAGGGTTAGAGACACAGTAAAGCTCCTCTACACTGTGCGTCCACACTCCCAGGTCAGGGTTAGAGACACAGTAAAGCTTCTCTACACTGCGTCCACACTCCCAGGTCAGGGGTAGAGACTGTGAGGTGCGAATTGTGGTCTGAGATATGCTCAGTGACTGTGTGTCTATTCCAGGCTGCGGCTTTGCTCAGTTCAAGACCAAAGAATCAGCACAGAAATGTGTGAATGCAGCAAGCGATGACTCCGAGGTGAGGAACCGTGTGTCTGTGGGTAAACGGGGCAGACAATTTCCGCCCAACAACGTCCCCACAAACAGCTGTGATGAATGTTATTTGGGTCACTGGGAGGGAGGGAGAAACCCCTTCTCTATTCCAACAGCTCCACAGGAGATCTTTAACGTTCGCCCTGATGTGGCTGGCTGGCTGGGGGTGGTGGAGTGTGTGGGTGCGGAGTGTTGGTGTGTATGGGGGGGGAGTGACACTGTGCTGTATTACAGGAGGGGGGCCTGCACCTGGCTGGCCGGAAGCTCAGTATCCTGGTGGCCGTCACGAGGGACGAGGCCAAGAAGCTCACTGAGAAGAAACCCGTCAAAACCGGGGGCCGCAACCTGTACCTGGCTCGAGAGGGCTGTGAGTGAGGGGTGGGGGGGGGGGGGCTGTGGGTGAGGGCAGGATTGTGAGTTAGGGTGGGGGGGGACTGTGTGCAAGGTGGGTGGGGGGGCCAGGGGAGGTGGGGCTGTGAGTGTGGGATGTCGGGGTGTGGGGAGAGTAAGGGGGGGGTGGGGAGCGAGCGATTGATTGGGGAGGAGTTTGAGATTATTACTATTGAGGCTGGGTGCGGGGGTGAGTATGTGGGAGAGGTGGGTATATGCCAGCGTGGGGGGGGGGGAGAGAGATGTGCAAATACACAGTGTGGACCAGTTACTGATGCTCTTTCTCTCCCCCCCCCCCCCCCCCCCCTCTCTCTCTCTCTGTCAGTGATACGAGCCGGGATGAAATCAGCTGAGAATCTAAGCGCCGCTGACTTGGCAAAGAGATCACGGGTAAGAGCCTCCATGGGGGGAGGGGGGAGCGAGGGCCCGGTGGGAGGGGGCCAATGGCTTGGTGGCCTGTGGGTATCTGATGCCTGACCCCCTGACCACCCCCCCCTTCTTTCTTACACAGTTTGAGGAGCTGAAGAGACGGAAGCTGCAGGATGTGAATGTGTTTGTGTCGCCCACTCGCTTGTGTGTCCACAACATCCCCAAATCTGTGGACGACACTCGGCTCCGAACGCTGTGTCTGCAGGCGGCGGGGACCAGGGGCGTCCACATCACTGAGGTCAGAGCAGCGGTGGGGGGGAGTGTCTCTCTTTCTCTGTCTCTCTTTATGCCTCTGTGTATATGTGTGTCTCTCCATTTGTGTCTCTCGCTGTCTCTCTCTCTCATCTCTCCATGTCTCTCTGTCTGTCTCTATCTGTCGCTGTCTCTCTCATCTCTCCATGTCTCTCTGTCTCTATCTATCTGTCTCTCTCTCTTTCTCTCTGTGACTCTCTCTCTGTCTCTCTCTCTCTCTCTCTCTCTCTCTCTCTCTCTCTGTGACTCTCTCTGTCTGTCACTCTGTGTCTCTCTGTATCTGGTGATCACTTGCCCTCTCCTCTGTACAGTGTAGGATAATGAGAGACCGCCAGGCTATGAAGGTGAAGGGTTGGGGGCAGTCGTTGGGCTACGGGTTTGTGGCGTTTCGGGAGCACGAGCAAGCTCTGCAGGCACTGCGCCACCTCAACAACAACCCTGACATCTTCACCCCCGAAAAGGTCAGTGCAGACACCCAGAGCACGCCCGTGTGTGTGTGTGTGTGTGGTGTGGTTACACGGTGTCACCTGGCGTGTGTGATGCGTGTGTGTGCCACCCATCGTGTGTGTTCGCACACATCTGTGTGTGTGTGTGTTACACACCCTCCGCCTGGCAGACACACAGTGTAACTTTCACATTGCTCCGAACAGAGACCCATCGTAGAATTCTCACTGGAAGATCGGAGGAAACTGAAGATTAAAGAGGCACGTGTGCAACACAGCCAGGTTTGTCTCCCCCCCTCCCTCCCTCCCTCCATCTCTCCCTCCCTCCCTCCATCTCTCCCTTCCTCCGTCTGTCCATCTGTCTCTCCATCTCTCTATCTATTTCACTCTCCATCTCTGCCTCTAACTATTTCCATATTTCTTTCTCTACTATTGACTCTGTAAGTCCCACTTATCTCTTTGTGTATCACTGTCTCTAACACTTCCCCCCTCCCCCCCCACCCTCTCTCTCTCCTCTCACTCACTCTCTCTTCCTCTCTATCACCTGTTTTATTTGTCTGTGTGTCTTTCTGTTTTGTCTCTTAACTCGTTTTCTCTATCTGTTTATCTCTCCATCTGTCTGTCTCTATCCGTCTATTGCTGTCTCTGCCTCGATCTGTCAATCCCCCACATTGAAAGATCTGCTCATTAACTTGATGTCCAGGAGCTGCAGCAAACTCCAGGCTCCCTTGCTCACTCCCTCGCTCACTCCCTCCCTCGCTCGCTCCCTCGCTCACTCCCTCCCTCGCTCACTCCCTCGCTCGCTCCCTCCCTCGCTCACTCCGTCGCTCGCTCCCTCGCTCACTCCCTCCCTCGCTCACTCCCTCCCTCGCTCACTCCCTCGCTCACTCCCTCGCTCGCTCCCTCCCTCGCTCACTCCCTCGCTCGCTCCCTCGCTCACTCACTCCCTCGCTCACTCCCTCGCTCACTCACTCACTCGCTGCTCCGAGCCCCTGCTTAGGGTGTCATACACATTTCTAGCCACTGGACGGCACTAGGACACAGCTTTTGGTCCAGTGGCGCCTCTAGTGGCTGCCTGAGGTAATGCAGATTATAGAACAATCCTCACATTTGACTCGTGTGGAGGAACGTGTGAAAGCGCTTGGCGGGGTTGACTGAAGAGTGACCGAGCTGCCACCCCCCGCTCTGTGTCCACCCGCCGGAGGGTCGTGAAAGGCGCTGAGTAACTGTGAATGGGGAAAAAACTACTACTAATAATAATAGGTTATTCATGCAATCCGCGGCTGTCTGGGACTGTGTGTGTGGAGCTGCATCAAATGCAAGGATTATTATTGTTGTTGTTGTTGTACTCTCTTCCCCTCCAACAACAATCCCCCTCTCTGACTTGTACCATCTTTCTCTTAAAATGATAAACAGCAGAAACAACAGCAACAGAAACAACAGCAACAGAAACAACAGCAACAGAAACAACAACAGCAGCAGCAGAGAGCGGTTGTGAACCCTCAGAACCAACCTAAGAGGAACCAAGCGGCTCCGAGCCGTGCCCCCCGGCCCCCTCACCTCGCCCCGGCCCCCCAACACAGAACCTGGGCCGGATTTCGCACCAAAGCGGAGGTGGAGGAGGTGGAGCTGCCGGATGGTAAGAAGCGGAAAAAAGTCCTGCCTTTGCCCTCGCACCGCGGCCCCAAAATCAGGTACGTCCTCCATCTCTCTCTCTCTCTCTCTCCCCCTCTCTCCCCCGGTGTGTGTGTGTGAGGGGCGCTGTGTGTGTGTGTCGGGCGCTGTGTGTGTGAGGGGGGGGCGCTGTGTGTGTGTGAGGGGCGCTGTGTGTGTGAGGGGGGTCTGTGCGTGTGAGGGGGGGGCTGTGTGTGTGTGTGTGTGAGTGGTGCTGTGTGTGTGTGTGAGGGGCTGTGTGTGTGTGTGTGTGTGTGAGGGGCTGTGTGTGTGTGTGAGGGGCTGTGTGTGTGTGTGAGGGGCTGTGTGTGTGTGTGAGGGGCTGTGTGTGTGTGTGAGGGGCTGTGTGTGTGTGTGAGGGGCTGTGTGTGTGTGAGGGGCTGTGTGTGTGAGGGGCTGTGTGTGTGTGTGTGTGAGGGGCTGTGTGTGTGTGTGTGAGGGGCTGTGTGTGTGTGTGTGTGTGAGGGGCTGTGTGTGTGTGTGTGAGGGGCTGTGTGTGTGTGTGTGAGGGGCTGTGTGTGTGTGTGTGAGGGGCTGTGTGTGTGTGTGTGTGAGGGGCTGTGTGTGTGTGTGAGGGGCTGTGTGTGTGTGTGTGAGGGGCTGTGTGTGTGTGTGTGAGGGGCTGTGTGTGTGTGTGTGTGTGAGAGAGGGGCTGTGTGTGTGTGTGGGGCTGTGTGTGTGTGTGTGTGAGGGGCTGTGTGTGTGTGTGAGGGGCTGTGTGTGTGTGAGGGGCTGTGTGTGTGTGTGAGGGGCTGTGTGTGTGTGTGTGTGAGGGGCTCTGTGGGTGTGTGTGTGAGGGGCTGTGTGTGTGAGGGTGTGTGTGTGAGGGTGTGTGTGTGTGTGTGTGTGTCTAGGCTGGGGCCAGCCTGTGATGGAGGTTTGTGAGAGTCCCTGGAGGTATCACTGACTCCCTGTAATTTCTAACCCTCAGGGCCCGGGACAAGGGCAAAATGCTGGAGCCTAAGAAGGTGTCACGAGGGCCAAGCCGCCAGGACAGGCTGAGAGCAGCGGCCGCTCGGGGGAGAGGAGCGATGATCAGACAGGTACGTGGGGGTGGGGGGGATTGGGAGAACGGCGTGCGGGGGAGTGGGTATGAGACGGGGGGAGACAGATTGGAGTGGGGGGGAGACAGGCTGCGGGACAGCTGGGGGCGAAGTAACAGAGTGTGTGGGGGGGAGGGAGATGAGTGGGGGGTGAGGGGGTGGGTGGGCAATGTGTGCTGAGTGGCTCTCACATTCTCTCTCTCTCTCTCTCCACAGGGTGCCCCAGGCCGAGGTGGGGCTGGGGGCCGAGGTGGGTTTGGGGGTCGAGGTGGGGCTGGGGGTCGAGGTGGGGCTGGGGGCCGAGGTGGGGCTGGGGGCCGAGGTGGGGCTGGGGGCCGAGGTGGGGCTGGGGGGCAGGGCCGGGGGCAGAGACAGCTGGGGGAGGAGCAGCGATTCGAGGCGCTGGTGCAGCAGTATAAGAGGAAGATCCTGGGAGCCCCCCACAGAGGGGTGCGGACCATCGGAAACACTCCCGCCAAGAGGAGCAAGTGGTTCCAGGACTAGAGGGTCTGCTGGCGGGACAGAGCAACTGGGACCCACCCCCCCACTGAGCTCCACAGACAGCATTCCCACCCCCACCCCCCTGCCCACCTCCACTCCACAAAATGGCCTTTCAGCCCCACTATCTGGGCATCTGGGGGTTGGAGAAAGAGACTGAGATGGAGTGGGGAGGGGGCCCAGAAACTGTACAGACTCTTGACACCCATTCCCCCCACCTCCCCATCACTCAAAACACACACACAAACATTGCACCCAATTGTGAGAATATTTTATATGTAATTAAATGAGACGTGTTTATAAAAACAGTGACATCAAGGTTCAGTGGGCGCTTATTTGACTGAAAGTTTAATTCCTCTCAGAGGCTGTGCGGGGAGAGTGGTTGGGGGGTGGGGGGGAAATCATTCAGGGAATGTCTCACCCCTATCCACTCATACTGGACAGTGTGCTGTGTGGGGTTCAAAGCAAAACTCCTTAAACGTGGTACAAAACAGCTTTCCTGTGTCTTTGCTGTGTCTCTAACCCTGACCTGGGAGTGAGGACGCACAGTGTAGAGGGAACGTTACTGTGTCTCTAACCCTGACCTGGGAGTGTGGACACACAGTGTAGAGGGAGCGTTACTGTGTCTCTAACCCTGACCTGGGAGTGTGGACACACAGTGTAGAGGAGCGTACTGTGTCTCTAACCCTGACCTGGGAGTGTGGACACACAGTGTAGAGGAGCTTTACTGTCTCTAACCCTGACCTGGGAGTGTGGACACACAGTGTAGAGGAGCTTTACTGTGTCTCTAACCCTGACCTGGGAGTGTGGACGGACGCACAGTGTAGAGGAGCTTTACTGTGTCTATTCTCCCCCAGGAGGCATGTGGCTTACAGCACGTTCTCTGAGACATTGCTCACACCTCGGAGCTGCCTATCGAGCCTGGTTTGTGGCTCAGACCCTTAAATAAATACTTGTTGAGGACGGTTGGCGAAGGATCCCTGTTATTAGTGTAACTAAGGATATTGTATGGAGCACAGACCAACCATTCTCAACCATCAGTCTGACTGATGTCATTGTTACCCCCTCCTCCCTCTAGACGGTGTTCATCTTAAAGCCAGACTGTCTCCTATTATTAATAATTCTTGCATTTTATATAGCATTTTATCACTGTAAAGTGATTAGTGAGTACTGTAGCTCAGTGGTCGCAAGCGAGAGACCTGGGTTTGATTCCCGGGCAGAGCGAAACCTGGGGCAAGTTTCCTTACTCCACACACACGCCTCTGTTTGCCAGTAGGAACCCAGTTGTTATCGGATTGCTTTCCATGGGTAATAATCCCTCCAACAAATAAATAACCAATAATTTGGTCACTCAACCCACGGCTGTTTGTGGGACGCTGCTGTGCACAATTGGCTGCTGCGTTTCACCCACAAAATATACAGTCAATTCACTTTACAGTATATTCTGTGAAGCGCTTTGAGATGTCTCAAAGACACGATAAGACAAAGAGGCTCTGTATCAAATGCGAGGATTATTATTATTAAAGTTTGCTATCTCTGCACAAAGGTGTTCTCAGCAAATACACAAAGAAAATGTTGGGAATGGGGGTTAGAGTAGAGAGCTCCAGTGGGGGAGCGAGCCCCAGCACAGACACGATGGGGAGAGAGAGAGAGAGAGCAGGGAATGGGGCTAGTTTGAGTTGATATGATGGGTTGAATGGCCTCCCTGTGGGGGGGGGGGGGGCTGTCGTGTGTACGTGTGGGTAATTGCACAATGAGGCTAGTTCAGGGTAGCTCGGTCGCCAGCCTCTCCCTGTGCCTCCAGCACCTCGGTGAATTGCACATTCCTCAGCACATGAGGTAAAGGGCTGGTCCTCGCCGCCATGTACCTCCCTACCCACACTCACAGGCCATCGGCTGATGAATGAATGGAGTGAGTGAGTGAGGCCTTGGGCTGTGGCTCTGCATTTTCTAGGTGTTTCCTCAATTACTCTTAATTGGATTACTCACAGAATCCCAACCTGGGAATGGAGCAAGTTAGATCTCGCTCCTTCCGCTCCCGTGCGCTCTGTCTCTATCTTCGCTCTTTTATCTCCCATCTCGTCTTTTTCTCTCGCCCCATCACCGCACTCCGCGCCAGGCTCCGCTGGCTACCCTGTCTTTGGGAGAGAGAGAAAGAAAGAAAGAAAAAAATATTGGTCACTCAATCCCTTCCCCCCCCCCCCACCCCCAATATTTTTAAAAGGGATTTTTACCTCCGAATGCGATCTGCCAATTGACTGAAGTCTCAAAAGAGTGGCTCATGTTTTATATTTTCCTTTTACGCACATTTTTCCAATTCCTGTATAAAAACTATTCCTGATTCTCTTTCAGACAGCCTGGTTTGGTCAGCCTTTCCACAACCTAATAACCATCAGCGTGAAAATATTCCCATATGGTCGCTCACCCACTGTGCAGGCTTCTCTCTTTCTCTTAGTAGTCCCCGGTTCCTGAGCCAGGAGGGGCCGCAGTGTCCCAGGCCACTCGCTGCTGATGGCAGCCCAGCCCGGCCTGGCTCACTGGAGACTCTTAAGGAACGCTGATGGGTTTCCGCACCCGGCTGGCACTGGGAGAGTGGGGGTGGGGGACCTGGGAGTGTTTCACGTTCCCCACCCCGGGTCTTTGAGCTCACAGTTTAGACAATCCAATGTGGTACAGACGGGACCTCGGTTTAACATCTCATCTAAAGGTCAGCACCTCTGACATTGCTCCCCCCTTCCCACATGGTGTCTTGGAGTGAGCATCAGCTTATGTGAGTTCAAAGTCCTGACGTGGTGGTTTGAACCCAGGACCACCTGACAAGGAGAAGAGATTGTGTCTGAGGCAGGACGACACTGTTATAGGCTTGGGTGTCCTCCCAACAGAGAGGAGGCCAGAGTTGGACACAATGGCCCAAACGCCTGTCCTTGTTAATGATTTCCACAGCTTTGGCATCACCTCTTTGTATTTGTGCTCTGTGCCCTTTATTGGTGGAGTGTAACCTCCCCATTTAACAGCCTGTCCCCTCTCCTCGCTGTGCGCTACACTCTCCACACCCGACACACGGAAAGGACTCATACTTTTACAGCGACTTATCACACTGAAACATCTCGGTGTCTTACACAGAAAATCACAATCAAGTCTATTGACTTTACTGACGGCCAAACACGGCAGCAATTTGTGTACGGCAAAGTCCCATAAATCATGAGCTTTGTCGTTGTGGAGTCCTGTAGCCCAGTGGTCAGAGCACTCGCCTCGCAAGTGAGAGGACCTGGATTTGATTCCCGGGCGGGGCAAAACCTTAAGCAAGTTTCCTTACTCCCCACGGCTCTGTTTTTCCAGTTGTTAGTTGATTGGCAGATTGCTTTTCTGGGGTTAACAATCCCTTAAAAAAACAGCTGTTTGCGAGGCTCTGCCGGGCACAATTGGCTGCTGCGTTTCGCCCACAAAATACAGTCAGGTGGGGAGGGGGTTTCTTCTGAGCTCATTGGGGCAGATGAGCCATCAGGACGTGTATGTGTGAATGTGTGAGTGAGTGAGTGAGGCCACATTTCCCAGCTCTGTGTCAGGAGCCTGGCTGACTCACACCAGCTCCCGCTCAGCGAGAGAGAGAGAGAGAGTGAGACACGGAAAAGTGGAAACCCCACAGCCACAGAGTTTTCCAAATGCGGTTGGAAGGCGAGAAGATCTCCTGGAGATGAATCAAAACTGCCCGGAGCAAGAGAGGATCATCCAATTAATGTAGACCTCCCTAGCTGAGACGCCACAAAGCCTCACTGCCATCTGAGCACAATTAGCCGGGCTCAGTGTTGATGGACACAGGCGTGGGGTGGGGGTGGGGGGGGAGTGAGGTTTAACGTCTCATCTGCAGGACCGAGTCTCCAACAAAGCCCTTCCCCCACCGTTCAACGACAACAACAACTTGGATTTATACAGTGCCCTCCACGCCGGATGGCGTCTCAGAGCTTCACAGTAACGGATCCCGGGGCCAAGCCGGGGGGAGGGGGGGAGCCAGGGTGGGGAGCCAGGGGGAGGGGGCAGAGCCATGGGGGGGGAGGGGGGGGAAGGTGACCAAAGGCGCGGTTGAAAAGAAAGGTCTTCAGTAGAGACCTGACAATAAGAAGGTTGGAAACGAGGGGAAGGGAGTGAGGAAGGGAGTTCCAGAGCCTCGGGGCGCAATGGCTGAAGGCACCGCCGCCGAGGGTGGAGCGGAGGACTTGGGGGACGAGGGGGAGGCCAGACCCAGAGGAACGAAGGCAACGGGTACTGCTTTGAGGAGAGAGGAGGTCAGAGGGGTCGGGGGGTGCAGAGGAGTGGAGGGATTTGAAGACAAGGTGAGGATCTTGAAGTGTCAGCCTGAGCTCAAAACCCCTAATGTGGGGCACTCGAAGCCATAAGCTCCTGACTTGGAGCGCAGTAATTACCTGTGAGGAGGTTTTGACCTGCCAGGGGTTGTAGCAGACACAAGGGTCCTTATTAATACCACAGCAATGTGAGTCGCTCACATTTCCGTGGCTCCCTCTATTATATACGCAGGAGTTTGTCTCAATAATCCTTCCCTTGGGCCTTATCCGTTCTTCCCAGGTCTTTTGTTGACGTTGTTGGGTTGCTGTATGTGTGACTCAGTTCCTCTGAACTTCCCCATTTGTGTGTGGATTCCTCATGTTGTTACAGGAGCCTGTGTCTGTCTCTCTCTCTCTCTCTCTCTGCTTCCTGTGCCAGACACTTGGCTTCCACATGGACAGACTGGGAATCCACGCAACAGGATATTGGAGGAAGCGTCACTGAGGACAGAAGTATCTCAAGCCGCTGAGAACAAGCCTGTCACGTCACGGCAGATCTGGCCACAACACAGGAGATTCCCCCAGTGTCTCCTCACAGCCATTTGTGCCAAATGGTTAAATAACTTTACAATCTGGAGGCTCTGGGCTTTGCCATTGCTGGTCTCGCTCACTCAGCTTCCTGTCCCATGTCTTCTCTCTGCAGTATTTACTTTGGCTCTTACACCACGAAGAGTGTTTAGGCTGAAGACGGAGCGTAAAGACACAGTAACGCTCCCTCTACACTGTGTGTCCACACTCCCAGGTCAGGGTTAGAGACACAGTAAAGCTCCTCTACACTGTGTGTCCACACTCCCAGGTCAGGGTTAGAGACACAGTAAAGCTCCTCTACACTGTGTGTCCACACTCCCAGGTCAGGGTTAGAGATACAGTAAAGCTCCTCTACACTGTGCGTCCACACTCCCAGGTCAGGGTTAGAGACAGTAAAGCTCCTCTACACTGTGTGTCCACACTCCCAGGTCAGGGTTAGAGACAGTAAAGCTCCTCTACACTGTGTGTCCACATTCCCAGGTCAGGGTTAGAGACACAGTAAAGCTCCTCTACACTGTGTGTCCACATTCCCAAGTCAGGGTTAGAGACACAGTAAAGCTCCTCTACACTGTGTGTCCACACTCCCAGGTCAGGGTTAGAGACACAGTAAAGCTGTCTCTGCGGATCAGTTGTCTTGATGGTGTGAAAGTCTCTCTCTGTGTGACCCACACACTGAATCGAAAACTCTACAATCCTTTGTGATGATTAACAAACCCACATCATATATCTGTACCGAGGCTTAACACGAGAAACGCAGCGAGAGCAAGTTGCGTGTTGAAAGCTCTCAGTTTCATTAATAATTGGTCTATTTGATGTCCGAGTGGCTCAGTGGAAGCTCTCTCACCTCTGAGTCAGTTGGGACTTGGAATCACACAGTCTAAGGCCGGTGGGAGTGGGGGGATGTCGCGTTGTGGGAGAAGCCGTCCTTGGGATGAGATGTTAAACCTCATTCCCCGTCTTCCTGTCCGGGTGGATGTTAAAGATTCTGCGGCGCTGTTGGAAAAGAGAAGGGAGTTTCTCTCTCTCTCTCTCTCTTTCTCGCGCTCTCTCTCTCCCCCCATGTCCTGACCAACAATCCCCCAAATAAAACTGGTAACTCACTCCACAACTGTTTGTGAGACGCCGCTGTGTGCGATTGGCTGCCGTGTTTCGCCCACAAAATATCCAGTCACTGAACGCTACGGTATATCTTGTGAAGCGCTTTGAGACGTCTCAACGACGTAATAAGGCGCTGTTTCAAACGTCAGGATTATTATTATTATTATTAATATTTACCAGGATTTTTACTATGCAGTGTAGTGACTGTGTAAACCAAGGCAACAGCCAGTTTCCGTTTGGCAACTTTTCACAAACAGCCACGAAGTAAGTGAAAGATTGATCATAAGGCCATTATCAGCCGGGACACTGGGAGAGAGAGAGACTCCCTTTCCTTCTCCCCGATAACGCGTGGGGTCAGTCACAAGCAAACTGTGTGTGGGTCGTTGCTGTGTGACTGTGTATTTTGTGGGTCGATGAGAGCTGTGTTCCACTTTACAGCATATCCTGGGAAGGGCTCTGGGATATCACCCTCCCCGGCGCTGTGTAAGTGTAAGGGTTGTTCATGTGTGTGTTTGCGGGGGAATGAAAATGTAATAATAATAATCCTTGCATTTGATACAGAGCTCTATCACATCGTTGAGACGTCTCAAAACGCCTCACAGGATATACTGTAAAGAGGAGTGACTGTGTAATTTGTGGGAGAAAACCGGCAGCTAATTGTGGACCAGGCGTCCCACAAACACTCGTGGGTTAAATGACAACAATTTTTTGAAGGGTTTATTATCCCCAGAAAGTGATCCGCCAATCGACTAACAACCGGGTTCTTACTTACTGTTAGGTAAACAGAGGCGTGTGTGCGCGTGTGTGTGTGCGTGCGTGTGTGTGTGCGTGTGTGTGCGTGTGTGTGTGTGCGTGTGTGTGTGCGTGTGTGTGTGCGTGTGTGTGCGTGCGTGTGTGTGCGTGCGTGTGTGTGCGTGCGTGTGTGTGTGTGGAGTAAGGAAACTTGCCTAAGGTTTCATTGTGCCCAGGAATTAAACCTCCTCTCGCTTGTGAGGTGAGTGCTCTAACCACTGAGCTACAGGACTGCACAACACATAAATAAATGTGACCGGGATATTGACAGCGATGATGACTTAAGTGGTTATCAGGAGTTTATTGTTGAATAAATCCACAATGTACTCACTGTGGCTAAATGGCTGAATCCATATTTACCATATTAATATTGAAACAGAGAGGCAGTGCATCTAAGTGTTCCAGGAATTTATTGCAATGATTTACAAATCCACATATTCGTACATCAATAATAATAACTTAAGTTAATTTAAAAATAAATTACTTTATTTTAAAGACCAAGCCACACAAACCCATTCCATCCTCCTTTTCCCTGTTCCTGGGAAACTCCCATCAATCCGCAGCTCAAGTCCCATCTCCTTCAAAACACACACACAGCGGGAGCTTTACTGTCTGTCTAACCCTGACCTGGAAGTGTTGGTACCAACACTGACATCCCTTGAACAGGAAAAAAGAGCTGGTTTGTGTAAAATTAACATGCGGCAAATAAATAAGTTGCTAAACCGGGCTGATAAACACAAGAGAGATGTAGATATAGAGGCAGTGCCGTGCTGATACAATGCTGTGTGAAAGCTGGTGTCCAAACTCCAGACGGTTTGGCATTTACTGATTTTGCAAAGAAAATAAATGTTTCCGCGCCTGATTTGTGGGTTAACACATCTCACGGCTCATGTTCTCACCACCAGTGGAGGGTAAGAGGAAGAGACGAGTTAGGGTTAGGGTTAGGGGGGTGAGGAGTTCTGAGACACGGCCCAGCGTGAAAGGCGCTGGTTAAATGCAAATTGTTGCTGTCTCCTGGCTGAGCTCCCAGTGACGCCCCTTTGCAGACTAAGAAGTACAGCGACTGGCGTTGTCCAGTACTCTGACCGCCTGCTGTAAGTAGCTGATTAGCTTCTCAAGGACCACGTGACTGATGGTCAGCTTGTACGAGGTGTTGTTCCGGAGGAAGGTTATGAGTTGCTGTGCTGCGCTGCACTGTGGCTCACTGCAGCCCCACGACTGGGCCACAGACTTCAGCACA